ATCATTCCTGTATAATAAATAATAATACTAAATCAGTAAACCATACCTGCAGGTGAGTCACGTGTGGCGCTGCGCACATTTCTATCGCAACCGTTGGGATTTTTTTTTTCATTGTGTACCTTTTAATACTATATCTAACGTTTTGGCGCCGTCGAGTACTTACACCTATGCTGCTCGGTGTGTGTGTGTGTGTGTGCACTAAACACTTGTAATTTATGACGCGTGCCGGAGAATCCAAACGCAGTCGCCTCTCCGCGCTCCCCGCCCGCGGGCCACGACTCTTCGAATCGTCACGACCTTTTATTAATATTGTGTTCGATGAAACAATCGACCCGGAAACCAGACGAAGCAGCAGTCGATATTGTATAATATTATACCGATCGAATGTTCCGCCCGGAAAATATTATATAAAAGAGGCCTTATTGTTGTATTATGACAAAACGTACGTGTACTTATACCTAAAAAGCTACTGTGTACACTGTACACGAATCGTACACGTCAACACGTGTTTGGTTTTTTGACGAGTGACGACTGATACCAGTGCCTTCAGACGTGATTTCGATCCCGCAGCTTAAAAGAATAGACGCTTCTAGTTTTTTTTTCTCGAATCTGGTCACGCATTTTTACCGTATATACATGTTTCCAAAACGACATCCGAAAAGAACACCGCTTGTCTGCAGACTTCTGCGTGCAATATTATTGTTCGTAAATCGAACACAAGTACATTCAACGTTTTAAAACGTAGATAGGTATATTCCGATAATGCTATGGTTATAATCAATTTTTTTACATACATAATAATTGATAATCGTAATATTATAATATATAACATTGAGTTTTAAATATATTTTAATCAGTGCACTACAAACATTTATTTAGTCAAGTAGGTATTTAAAAAAATTATATAATATATTATATCTATAATCTATATAATAAATTATTTATTTGCTTAAGGATATCGGTTAGGTTTTACGACGTTATTTTTTAAATATATATATATTTATGTACATAGTTTAAATGTAATAGCTTTGACATAAAGAAATTTGATATTTTAAACGTATAGTTTCTTATTAATACATATTTTTTTACGTATTTTGACTATACAGGATGATTTTTTATCAGTAAACACTCCTCGCGAAGGTGTATTGACGTTTTTGAAAAATATTTTTTACATAATTTATATAATTCACCAAACCATTTGGATAAGTCAATAACAAAATTATTAATGAAAACTATCTATTTCAGTACATGAAAATCGAATTTCAAATGAATAGAACTAGGTTTGAAGATTATATAAACCCAATGAAGTAGCACAGGGACTCGAATATCTCGCAAAATGATTGGTGTACACTACTCCACTCATCTAAACATTAAATAGGTGCATACTTATTTATTAATTAACCACTCTTTCAAAATGTAATTTATATACATTAAAATTCTTTGTATAATTATCTGTATAATTACTTAAATATATGTTAAAAAATATTTACAAAATGTTAAAAACGTTGTTAAATAACTATTAAATTTATATAGTTATTTAGCCATTGTTAAGAGGATGTCAGCGCGTTGTTATCTTATATATACTCTCTTTCTCTCTTTCTCTCTTTCTCTCTCTCTCTGACACTGCAATGCACACATATCACATTTTCGTTCTATAGAACCAGTCTTGTGTCGTTATAGCTGACCTCTATTATCAAATTTAATGTTTAAAACGTTATCTGTGTTATAAAATCGTAATATTTTTAAATAACCATAACTTGAGTAAAAAAAAATGTCGTTAAAAAGTCAGCATACTTACACAGATAGTTTTTTGAACTTAATAGGTTTGATAATAGGTCAATTAACTTTGTAATATTCGGTCTAGCAACACAAGGTCGGTTCTGTAATTTGCTATATAATAGTTAATATTATGTTGGTGGGTTGGATAAATAAAACAAATAATGCACTGACATCCTCTTAATACTTCTCGAAATAATCAGTGCTTACCGTTAAAAGAATCCTGTGTATATGAATCAAGTAAACAAAATGTAATTTCGTTAAAATGTTTTATTGCTAAAAACGCGTCTCCGTCACATTCCCTAGTCGAAAGTCCTCCATTCGAAGTTCGAACGGAAGAATATAATATAATTGCAGCAACCTCCCTTGACCCGCGCTCCTATCGAGAGCAGTATTAAATTAGAAAAATACTACTAAGCACATATACACTCCATACTTACTATAAATAAATTTGTTTTTACGCGTGGGCGACAAATTCCAGTCACTCTTCTACTATACCGGCAACTCCTGCACCCTCGTCGCACATGAAATCCAAGACTATTTTAAATGGACCCCGTTGAAGAATGCTGCAGTCCCATCCCATTACAAACGAACTTTGCCGCCCACAATTTAAGTACGACATTATAGTGATCTTTCAATTTAGAATCGCGGTCTTCTGCGGTACACCTCAATTTATTATTGGACTCGCTTTACATTTTACATACAATGTTATTATGCGCATCATAATATTTTAGTCATATAGTAGACTTAAATTGGAACTATAGGATTTAATAGTTACTTACAAGGCTATAGGAGTCCTAAGAAACCAAAGTCCAAAATAATCCGTGGGATGCAAGCCCCTGTATACCCCTGTACTTAGACCTAAATATATATTATACAAAATATCATTATCAATAATCGTACATCAATAATTCTCTTTCTACATTTATTATAACCAGATCACTGTATATGGTATATGGTAGGTTCTTAATCGGTGGTCCATGGACCATTTGGGGTCCGTAGATGGTTACTCGGGTGGTCCATGGGGTGGCTGTGAGTTTTTTATTATGTACATTTTTATTGTGATGATTTTTAATGTAATTTATTATTTTTGTAGGTATACGGGAACGGTTGTTCATATTTCTGTACAGTTCCCGATAACGTTTTTAAGATAGCAATAATAATTTCTTGCCCACATTCCACCAATTGAAAGACAACAATGAGACAAACCAGTCATTATTTTTATATACCAAACTTATATGATTGCTTACTAACTACTTACTAACTAATTATCACACTAAACATTCAAAAAATAATATGGCTTTATCCAGTTCCATAAATATAAATTTGTGAGCATCTATTGATGTGCTTGAAAATTAATTTGGCAATTATTACCAGAAATATGGTTACGCAATCCATTTCTCGTGGACTTCATTTCATTAATTAATGATTCAGATCTCGTTAATGATGAATTAATTTATTTGAGATCAAAACGCTACTATGTACATATTCCGAAAGTCTGAATTTTCTACAATAATCATAATTAAAAACAAATCAAGAAATTGATTGGACTTTAAGGACGATATGCGAGTTGCTCTGTCCAATATGGTCTTAGATTTTAAAGCAATATTTCAATCAATACAACAGCAAAATATGTCCCATTGAAACTTGTATGCATAAATTCTAAACTATGAAACAAAGTGATTATTTATAATAATTTAATAATGTATTAACTCTTAATATTATCATTAAAAATAATTAAAATAAAAATAATAATTGTATGGGGTCAAAGCCGGGCTATACAGCTATTAAATCAGTAAATAAATAAATAAATATATATTATAATATAGGTAGGTATCTACAAATATAATTGAATGACAATTTGTTAAAAGGGACCCATGTACATTTTTAACTACTTTTCAGGAGAAACAAAAAACAGTTTTCCTTTATTTTTATTCGCGTAATAAGTACATAGAGGTACCTTCTAACAAACTATCATAGGCGCAACTAGGTACATTTTGCTGGGGGGGCTAAAATTATATCGGCACTCAGCAGCAGTGGCGGATTCAGAGGAGGGGCACAGGGGCACGTGCCCCCTGTCACTTTTCTATCGAAAATTTTTTTATGTAACTACCAGTACCATATGAATGAAAAATTCAGTTAATAAGAATAATAACTACCAACTATTAATTATTATTTTTTTTTTGAATACATTTATTTTAAACTAAAATATGATAAAAAACTGGGAGGACTTGGCGTCTATAGACCTCCTAATTGCTCCTATGGTTTAGTGTAAATAGTGTAATTTCATCTTAATTATAGTTTTACGATGTACCTACTACGCCATAGGAGCACATAGGGGGGTGCTTGGGGGTGCTAAGCACCCCCAAGCTTCAAACTAGCACCCTCAGTTTATTTCGGTACTTCACCAATCATTTATAAACTATCGTGGTTTATTGGTTCGGAATTTTTCTTTTCATTACAAATACTGACAACTGTTTACAAATTCACGATCAAAACAGTATTGTGTGAATGCATGTTTCGGTGTTTCAGTTTTTGTCAAAATATTAAACAGTATGCAGCAATCATATTATATCATATCATTATAGAAAATTATATTATCTTACGGTTGGCTAAGAAATGTTCTATTTATAACTTTGGTTATTACTAATATATTTATTTATTCTGTGGGCCACGCTGAATTGAATAAATTCGGAATGACAAATATTATTAAGAGGATGTTAAACCCGCATTGTGTGGTCTCCGTTTTACAAATGTAAAACATAGAAAAACGTTTTTGCTCGGATAAGAACCACTCACTATATAAATGGACGGTTTTTGTGAGAAGGGGCCCAAGTCAATTTTCATCGATTTTTACTTTATAGGTTAAAATTGTAGGAAATTTTACGCCGCATCTGATGGTGCCACTGTCGTTGTCACGTGACTACTCATTATCAAATTATATTGTTGTGCGTTTGGGTCCATGTAGTAACTCAAAATAGATTTTTGTGAGAAAGGGTACATGTCAGTAAATTTGTCATATCCTTATGCGTCAAAGGGCAATGTAATTTTGTATGCGTGCGAAAGGGACTAAGTCACGAATGTAAATGCTATTTCATTACATTAACACGTTTTTTATCCAATATTGTGGACGATTTTAATAATTGTTAGTACTTTTTACTGTTTATAAATAATTAGCAATTAGTTTTAAAGTTATTATTCAATATTCAAACCATATTTTCATGATGATGTCTAGTAGAAACAATCGACTTTTAGCAATGGCAACTAGTAAGTACCTACATATTTATTTCATATTATTAATAAATAATAATTATAATAATTAATGTGTAAAAAAAATTGATGAGCTATAAAAAATAAAACTAGGTATTGTTCAAATGTAGTGCTTACACATAATGTGCACATACTAAGAACAGTAAGAACACAAATGATGTTAAAAATAGCCATGTATGCATAATAAATTATATTCATATTATTTCATACAAACATTCTTATTCTTATACTCAGGGAATTTTTTTCTCCCATATAAAAATTATAATATTAGTTGATTATCTAACTAGAAATTCATGTCCTATATTGCTATGTCATGATGTATCTAACCATCTAGCTAAACTTATTGTATTCCATAATAATGCACAGTATTTTAAAAGTTGTATGATTTTTTTTAATTATTTAGGTGGTGTAAACAATCAAGATAGGAACACAATTAACTATTGTAAAGAAAAAATACCAAAGAAACCATCTGTTTGTCGTAATTTAAATAATAGTTTTTTAACTCAAGTCAATACATCAAAAACCAAACAAGTTCTGGTAATATAAAAGTTGATAAATATTTAGCTCTAAAGTTATGTTTTGTAACTTAATAAAACATTTATAATTTTTGTGTAAAATATTATATATTGATACACAAATACTTAATAAGTACCTATTATGATTTCTTAAGTTATATATTAAATTGTACCATAGTAATGACAACCACTTTTAGTTTACCCAGCACAATATTTTAGTTTTTATATTACATTTTTATAGGAATGGTTGAATCAATCAGAATCTACAAGAATTTCTGACGAAACTGTTACAAAAATATATAAAACAATTAAAACAGTGAGTATGAAATCTAATTTTAAATTTCAATATTATTATAGTAGGTACCTATATTATTAACAAAATACTTAATATAAAAATGTAAAAAAAAAATTGTATTGTAATTGGACAAAAGTAAACTTAGATTATGTAAGTGGTAAAAAAGATAATGCTGAGGTCCTATGTGTGCCATTTTATTAGCACCACATATCATATTAGATGGATATTATAATGTAGGTACTATAATAAAGTTAAATAGATAATATTATAATATACATTAATCTATAATTAAAAATATAAATAAATAATACAAATAATAAATAGGAGTAATAAGTTAAATCTATTAAACATATTACATATAATATTTGAAATATTTATATTTTTAACTTTCTATTTTCTATGCATAGAGCAACGATACAGAAGGTGTAGAAAATTTTAAAAAATATGGTGATTGCTTAAATGAAAATGCAGTTGATGTACCCAAGCAATGTATTATGAACGAGACTGATGAATCTATTTGTTACCAAGAAATTGGTATAACTGATGTTTATGAAAACTTAGACACTGTGGAAAACATTATTAACTCAATTCCAGAAGACCTTTTAGCGTTGGTTCAAGTAAATAAAATAAAAACATTTTTTAGTTTAAAATATATAAATAATAATTATATTATAAACCATATAGAATGAAGATCAATGCTACAGTGAAATTCACCATGAAAATGTAACAAATACAGATGGATTTTATGAACTGAACTCTGAAAAAGATCCAAGTGTAATATTTGGCACCTCTGAATCTGGGAGTGATGAACATAATTTATTGCACACAGATACTGAGGCATTATTTGGTACTCTTGAATCAACAACGGCGATAAATGAAATTAATGGTAATAACAATGAATCTAATTTAAACAAAAGAAAGAAAAAACCTAGCACGAAAGGTGATACAAGACAATATAGGCAGTACAGAAAGGAAAATAGGAATTGTGGAATAGTTTTATACATGGTAATGTTAACATAATTTTAAGTCAATATTTTGTGTTTTTATAATATCATTATGCTTGTACCTAAGTATTTATTTTAAATTTATCATTATTATTATTTTTTTTTTTTGAAAATACTTAATTATTATAATTTTGATTGTGCAATAAGAAAAAGTTCAATAAGATATTACCTATTAATTTATATTGTTAAGTATAATTTTATTTAAATGCAATTGTGTTACAAGTATTTAAAAAATATTAACAATATTTTTTGTTTCAATTTTAAATTTGTTTAATTCATGTCGTTTTTCATAAAATGTTAATAATTTTATACATGGTAACATTAACATATCTTTAAGTCAACATTTTGTGTTTTTATAATATTATAATTATTCAACCTAAGTACATAATATTTTATATTTATCAATAATTTTTGTTTTAGTTTGTAAATGTTTTTTAAAGTTATTATATTCATGTATTATAAAATTCTACATTTCTTTCTGAATAAAAATACTTAATTACATGATTTATTGCATACATTTTATTATTATTTGTTATTTACCTAATAATTAGAACATATATTTTTATTCTAATAAAATAATTTTAAGTGCTTAATATAACATTATACATACCTAATATAAACTTTATTATTTATTGAATGTACTTATTACAATTTACAATATTAGAAATGTATTGTCATATTTTAAAATAAATAAACTTCATAGTGAGAAAGGTCACAAGTCAAAAGTATAATAATTATTTTAGTGTCAAAGGTATCAAGTCAATTAAAATTACTAAATTTTGCTTAAATATGAAAAGTGATTGAAAGAATCTCACTAAATTGTAATAAAGTATTTAAACATACATATGTGGTAAAAATAATATCAATAAAAAAGACAAAAATTAGTTTATTCCTTCTCCTGAAAAGTAACAATTTTTGACTTGGGCCCCTTCTCACTAAAACCGTCCAAATATATATATAGCTCAAGTTATGCAACCTAATGTTCCTACTAGAAAGAGGAGAACATTGACTGTGCAACATTGTTTTAATTTTTCGATATCACAAATACGAAAAAAGTTCTAATAGTTTCAAAATTAAAAATTAATTATTTTTAGATTCTGAGGGGAACGATGAATGTATTGATTTTACAATGTGTGTTTTTTTTTATTTTTTTTTGTGTCTGTCATCACCTTTCAGGACAGTAAAAGTGCTTGGATTTCTTCAATACTAACTTTTCTGATAGGAAAATGAATCTAGTTGGTACTTTGGGGGGGGTCAAAAGTAAAAATTTCCCAGTAATTTTCAAAAGCGTTGGGAAAAACAAAAGAAAAATTAAGGAAAAACGGGAATTTTTACGCAAAATCTGTTTTTGAGAAAATTGATTTTGGTTTTTGGTGTAACTTTAAAACAAATTACCGTATGAAATTTTCACTGGTTATTTATATTTCCATTTTCTATACATGATAACATTTTCTAAATATTTTGAGTTATTTTGAGGTTTTTACGGACAATTTTTAGATTCCATTTTTTTTAGTTTTTTTTTCTATAAGTAGGTATCAATAAAATTTTATTTGTTAGGTATAAAAGCTTAAACATTTAATAGAAGGCTCATAATATATTGTTTTCAAATTTTATGAAATATAAAAACAAAGTTACACGGTAAATTTTCTCATTTTAGTTTCTTAGCTTAGAGTACAGCCTGAATGTTTTTTATACCCGTGCAAAACTGTTTTGCCTATGTTGTACCTACGTTTTTAATACGGAGACAACACATGTGGCTGTACCTAGCGTCTTCTTTACAATCATACAGACTATTTTATACATTGCACTTTAGATATTATTGTATGCACTATACAAAATTAAATCTAATGCAATGCAGAAATATTAGGATTTAGGGGGTGTGGGGGGCAAAGCCCCTAACGGATATGTGAACCATAAATTATTCCAGCACCCCCTAAATTCACACCTTATGTGCGCCTATAGTACTACCTACATAGATCCAGAGCTCGTAAGTTCATGCACTAAAAATTGCATAAATTGCATTAATTTTACACAGACCAGATGATACGAAATAGGTAATTTTTAACAAAAAAACATGTGTTTACATAAGAGGATGAATAATACACAACAAAACTATTTTTGTCAAAAATGAAACTTGTGTTCCTTTTAACAAATTGTCATTCAATTATTAAATATCTTACATAAGAACATTTTATTTTACGGATTGATTTGGATTTTAACCGGCAGGAAGTGCTAAAGAGTAAAAAGTAAGAACGTACTAGGGAGGCTAAAAACGTCTATAGAAGGATGGAAGTGGGGTTAGGCCACCGCCTAGTCATACCGATGTAAATATAGCTATATTATAGTTTGTTAGTATTTTGTTTTCAGCGAAAATAATCTTAGACAAATTTTAATATAATAATAATATACTTATATACGGTCGAATTTCGTTCGGTGGTTTCAGGGTCGCTGTCATGTCTACTATGCAAATTGATCTCACACCGAGCCGTAACTTTTTGGGGCGGACTTTTGGCTTCCGGCGGTATGATGTACAGTTCGTTCGCCAACTCCATATCGCACCTGTACATAAGGTAAGAGTAAATGGTGGAATTTATTTTACTTTAACTAACAGTAGAAGATGCATGTATTTGTTACGGACAAAGTATAAGACTGTCGGGCAACGTAGTAAAATTATATATATTATAGAATGTTGCCCAGTCTAGCTCGGTCCATATTCAATGTCAACTTTGCTTTATTTAATAGGTACTATTATTTATAATGCTTAGTATTAGTCAAATAGGTATTTGGACGTTTCCCCCTAAATCAATATTTATTTTTTTTTTTAACTGGTAAACCTACGGAGAATAAATAATATTTTGGAATGGTGAAAAAATAAATTTACAACACTAGTCCAATCCAATCATCCAAATATATGGCTTTTCATTGAAGCTCTATACAGATGAGCAACTCAAGTGCATCTATTAAAAGGTTGAATTATAGAATAAGAGCTTTCCGTAATAATTTGGACCCGAGGATCCTCCATAAGTGGTACAAAAAAAATCTCAAGAATTCAAAAATATGGTATTCAAGTGAATTAAAAAATTAAAAAATTCAGAATTTGGATATATGCGTAATTTAAGCATAACAATGGGGTGAGCATGCTTAAAAAATCACTTTGTATACATCGCATTCGTTAAAAATTAACACTTTTATTATATAGGTATTATAAGTTGTCATCTATATATATCTACCTATATTGCAATTGTATACATATTATATAGATACATATATCCTATAGACAATGCCGATGCCTATACCTATACCAGTTCCTGTCACTAATGAGTAAAATCCAAATAATGAGCGATAAGTTATAGGTATTGCATCGGTATTTTCTATCCCTAGTGTTATATTTTAATCTATGATAATTTACATACTTGATCGATGACAGTTTTCCCGATTTTCCGCAGCTATGGAGTGATGGTGGGATTTGGAGCGGGCTTGTGCTACTCAGCAGGAATACTGATCATCAACGAGTATTTCGACAAGCACCGAGGACTGGCCAACGGGTTTTCACTGGCAGGCACTGCCATCGGTGCTCTCGCCATGCCGCCGTACCTCGAGTTCTTGACCTTTTCATACGGCTACAGGTATAGAAATATATAATATTTTACTATAATAATATGATGGTCATTAATATTTCACACACAAAAACTGAAGAAAAAAAAATAAGCTCGTATTATTAAGGTCCCAAACTTCCAACAGATCTAAAATTATTTGTACATAATATTAGACAGGGGATCATCCCTTTTTTTCTTCATTAATGCAGTTATTCATAATCTGATTTTCGGAATTTTTATCGGAGCAGTACACTTCTTAAGTAGGTAGATTGCAGGTACTACAAAATAATTCTTGAATTTGAAAAGAAGGCTTTGAGTATATATAAAAATTCCAAAAGTAGAATTTTAATAAAAGATAAATTCATTATTAAAAGGAAAAATGGTATGAACACGCCTGATGAATCAACCTGTATAGTGTATAGTATATCTATTATAAGTTATAACTTACTAATAGTTTGGATTTTTTTGTGGTCAATGGTCTATGAGTAGGTCTATATAGCTTATTTCAACTGTAAATTCTAAATGCTATTCGTATTATTTGAAAAAAAAATCGACATATTTTATTTTGCTTTGTTTCATTTTTAAATATGTTCTGTATTAAAGCGTATTAGTCATTATTCTCATTGCAATTATTTGAAAGGATAATATTTGTTATTATCTCGAATGTTCAATTTTATGCCGTCATTATATAGATATGTTTGAATACTTTTTATGTTTATTTTTAAATTTTTTTCTAGTAATTAGGTATTTATATTATGTAACTAGAAATGTTATAATAATTAACTATAACTAGTAGTAGTCATATTAGGCGTGTATATATGGTTCAAAGAATAAAACAAAATTACAGTGGGTACCTATGTCTTCTTACAATCGTTTATAAAAGAATTTTTTAGTGTTTTTTTAGAGTTTTTAATCACATTCAAATTCGAATAAGCATCAGCTAGTAGACGGTAGACCGTGGACAAAAACAATCAAAACTCGTAAAATGGTACTGAACAAATAACAGCATATAAGATCGGTACTTATTTCACGAACTTACGAGCTCTTCATGAATCCCTAGTAAAGTCTCGATGATTTTTTTATGAGAAGTGTTTTTAAGCTGTATTTGTGTATGTGCCTATTATATGAGTTTGTATACAATTTGAAAAGTACATAAATCGAAAGATTATTTAAATTATTATTAAAATATTTTTACTCCCCTTGTAGAGATTCGAGACTCGACTGAATATGATAAAATAATATGATTCGTTTGGATTTCTTAACCTAACCCAACACGGTGATCTTTAACCACCATTGCATTTCATATCGTTTTTCTTGCAGAGGTGGCATTCTGATCGTGTCCGGAATGATGTTGAACACACTGGCGTGCTCGTTGACCTACAAACCAGCAATTGTTGATGGGGACGGGGCAGTTCAACAGGACGAGGTGACCTACACGAGGCCGATTGCTTCGTCGACGCCAACGCCGACATCGATCAACGCGAGAGCAGTCGCGACAACGGCGTTTAAGGCGGCCACGGACCTGTACTACGCGGCCGTGGTTTCGTCACCGTCGCCGCCGCTGTTGAAATCCCAAACCACGGCGGCGGCGTTGTCTTCAACGGACGACGAAGACAATGACGACGACGAAGACGATGAAGACGACGACGAAAAAAGCCTGAAAAACACCCGTTGGTGGCGGTGGCTAAGGTGGCGACACCCGCAGTTCGGCGCCACGCCGGCCGCTGAGTTTCTGGCAGTGTCAGTGGTCCACGCCATCAGCCACTTGGCGTACGCCACTGCTGCGCCTGCGCGTGCCGCCGCCCTACAACTGGCCGCGGCCGAGGCGGCCGGTCGTTTTCTCGCACCCACAGCTTCAGACCTACTGTCGCCCGGAGGTTCGGCGTCAATTTACCTGTACGCCGCGGTGGTGGCCGTCGGCGGCACCGTCCTACTGACCGGCGCCGCCACCGCCGAATCGGATGCCGACCCGTTCCAGTGGCCACTGCGGTCGGCAGTGCACGCGCAATGGTCGGCGTCCCTGGTCATGGCCTTCGGGATGGCGTCCGGCGCCGCCGTCGGGCTCGAACCGCTGGTTGCGGTCCGAGCGCTTGGCCGCGAACAGCTCGCCGCCTCCTGTTCCGCCACATTACTCTGCAAAGGCGCCGCCCAACTGGCCGTCGACCTGTTCCTGCGCCAGTCGTTTCCCAGCCGCGGTGGACACTGGCCACCGATCTCACCATGCGTGTTTTACACGCTCGGATCAGTTCTAGTGGCCACCGCCTCCGCTTGGACGGCTGCGTTCCTTGTCAAGCGGCACTACACTTCCAAGACCGGGTGCAACCGGTACGTGAGAACCGCTTGACTACAGCGGCCACCACTGCCACCGGTGGCAAAACAATCATCCTACTATATTGTATAGGTAATAACCGGAGTACCAGACGGGAATTAAAATATTTTGGGATCGGTTTTCAACTTAAGCTTTCACAAAATTTAAATAAACCATAATACCCATAAATAAACCATAATACCCATTCGTCGTTACTCGTTTATCGTTGTCCTGAAAAGTGTAAGAAACAATTTCGATATTTTTAAAATCTAAAAAACTTTAGTGGCGATTAATGTTTGAAGTTCTTGTAATTTTCATAACTCGTTTATGAGTAAAATTAACATTTTTATACATATAGGTACCTATTATATTAAGACGAGAAATTTTAATATAATCGAGGGCCTCAACAAAACACGCCGCTTCAAATATTACACCTATCCGCGTATTTATCTTCTTCTAATTCCGTGGTTTGCTGTCTTAATATTTATTTTTAGAAATTTGAAAACTGCAGTTAAACTCGAAAGACATACGTCGCGCGTCTTACGTAATAGGAGTTTTCCACAAATTTTTAACTTTAGCCAAACGATTATTGATGCAAGTAGGTATGCCATGTGTAGGTTATATTAGGTATATCGTATATGTATAATTGTGAAAGTTGCTTACGTGATAATATGATATCAAATATAATATTCAGAGATCGCTATCATCGAAAAATAGTTAAGTACGGCTTTTAAGAGGACTTGAGTGTAGTAGGCAGTTATCAATTTATATTCCAATGTTTCACATTATGGAAAATTAAGAACTGACAAATGTTACAATAGGACTGAATTAGTACATGGAAATATATTAATGATTCCCATTTCGCGTTGTAGGTAAACTAATAAATAAATGGTATATTGTAAACAACCACATACTTTATGGAAGTTATCATAAAATTTACTCTCAAAACATCTCTACGCATTTCTAAAATCCTAAAAGCCTGATCAAAATTAATGATAGGCACCTACCTACTAAGTAGGTACTAATAATAAATAAAATGTAATATATACGTAAAAATCAGAACTCCAGTATCAAGTCGGTTAAGAGCTAAGAGTTATACTAGAACAAATTGTAAAAAGTTACAAATCATCATTCCTGTTTGTGATAAATAGTTAGTTACTATAGATAGATATATACATTTAGAACTGTCATGTCGGATCCATTAAAATTGGTCGAAACAATAAAAAAAAAAGTTCTGTTTTTACGTATGTATGTACCTAATTGACGTATTTGAGGCTTTCGATTATAGTAGTGATATTATATACAATTTGTGACCATTAGTATTTACTATTTACTATGTAGTAGGTACCTGAATATTGTTCTAGAAACCAAGACAAGAGTGCTTGATGTAAGTACTCGTCATGATTCATGGGGCGTAGTCCAATACGTTTTGAGCACTCAGTTTCGGTAAACATTTTTGTTCTAAAACTGTGTGTGGTGAACCACGATTTTCGGGCTTAAATCCTATTATACATGGAAGTGAGCAGACATGTTCAGCAGATTTTGATTTCCAATACTATTACGAATTTGCGGCCTCTGAATATTATAATATTGTTGTTTCCAATACTGTAGGAATATTTAATTTTTTATTATTGTATCTATTACTGAAATTGTATATCTAATTAAGAATTATCTGTAAATACCTGTATAAAACCTGTATATAAATATAATATTATGATCATATTATGATTTATGAACCAGGAATGGCCAACATTCATTTCAAACTTAATATTATGTTCAACAAGACCAACATAAATAAATATATATTTTTAAATTTATTAAATTATAAATCTACTACTTAATGACAAAAAATTAATATCATGTAATTCATTACAATTGTTGTTACATAATAAAAAAAAATTATCAATGGTATAAAATGAAACAACACAACAAAATATGGTCAATCAATTGGTCTTTCCTGGCTTATACGATGTATTATTTTAAAAACGTATACATAATTAATGGTGAAATGTGTTGTATACTTATACAACTAAATTAACCGAGTACTGATTTTTTTTTTCACTTTTATATCTGTGTAAGAATAAAATTGTATTTAATACCTACAATGAAATTGTAATTTTAATTTGTTCCCAGTTACATATAGATAATTTTACAAATACAATGAAAACCAGTGTTTATTTAACATTCATATTACTATTATTATTTTTTACTTTATCGGTTTTTTTTATGTACAATATACCTATTATTCATAATCTAATACTTATAAACTGAGGGGGAAGGGGGGATTAGTTTGCAGTAAAAAAAATTAAAACTGAGGTTATTATTCAAATGATAATAAAACACTATAAAATTAATAAAATCGAAACATATAATTAATTATACTCAGTTCTTTTTTTTTGTAAATTTATCTTCAATAAACAACGCCAATAAACAGAATATTGATTTACAAAAAAATCATGACACATAATAATATAAATTAAAAATATAATGAATATAATATAGTAATGAAAAAAAAAAAAAGATGACGCCATAATTAAAGTCTTAAAAAAAATTAAAATACATTGACAAATATATAAGAAAGTGTATCATTACAATGTTACCTTGATTAAAACACAAGTAAAATAAAACAAACATTAAACACTAATTCGAACACATACTTTTTTCAAAATATAATATTTACAATCAATATAATATATTGTATGAGAATTAAAGTTAAAAACCTTATTTGTAATTTTTACTAAATAACAGAATGAAGATATCAAATAGTAAATTGGATAAAATACCCATTCAAAATCACTTATACAGAAATATTTAACTTTATATTTAACAGGAATACTCAAAATAAATAATCGCTTATTGAATAATTGGAAATGCATGGCACATTTTTATTTAAAAATATATATTAAATAATAAAAATTAACTAGGAACAAAACGTTCCTGTTTCAATAAAATTATCTTAGGAAGAAATATTTACTTACTTCTATAAATCAATCATTCAGAATTTCAAACTGCAGGTAATAGTAAATTATATCTAGTAAAAATGTTTAAGTTAGAATCTAATTTTGATATTTTGATTATTTTATTTAAACATAGCTCACTTGAAATTTTTTTTATTGGGAAATTTTAATTTTAATTATTCATAATTACATTTTTAAAAAGTAATAAGTCTTGAAATCAGTTGCCTCACGGCCTCCAAGAAGTTAACATTAACTTATCATTTATTTCAGATAAAATCCTAGCACATACTTTTGCTTTATCATTCTTCATGATAGTATGATATATTTTATCTTCTGGATCTTGTACGACTTTTGTTTTATAATTTTGTTTTAGGGATGCCACACCTTTTTTAGGCTGTGATATCTGTACGCCTCGGCGACCTTGATAATTATCTTTTTGTTTTGCATTTGGTTTCTCAGTACGTTTCTGTAAAAATATATAAATAAAATATGTATAATATAATAACTATTTATATTATGTTTTCTATTATTAGTAGAATTATTTTTTTTTTTTTTTAATAAGACAGTAAGACAGAAATTCTAAGAAACCTGAATGTTGTTATAAAAATATTATAAAATAAGTTTCTGCAGACAATATTTCAAAATTAAATAATGTTTTTTTTAATATTTAATTAGGAATTCCAACATGTAAAATGTGAAAATTTAAACACTAAAAGTTAATTTTTATAAATAAAATTGTTTTATAATATTACAAATCATATAGGGATACAAATTTAAAAGCATTTTTAACTTTTGCATTATAATGCATACCATAGTTTAAGTAAATGGTAGAAATCAGTACCTAATTTTTAATGTTTGACAACAATCCAATTTTCTGTATACAAGATAAAAAATATTGCGAATAATATAATATTAAAGGCTATTGGTAAGTACATAAATGTATATTTTATCCAACTTTAAACAATATTACTATGTATGGTACCTACAATATGTACCTAATAAAAATATAATATTTAAAAATAAATTAATCAATTAGAAGTTTAGCACAGTGTATTTTGTCAAATTCCAAACTGATTGGAACATCATAAATCATTAATATATGAATATAACTCAAAGTGTACAATTTTTGTGATGAAACAACTTACCCGAGTTTTACGTATGAATGCAGAGGCGTCATAATAGTTAGGTTTTTCACGGCGTACACGTTCAGTCCTACGGCGGCCGTCTGAACGTGTAGTTGGAGCGGTTGCAACATCTTTGGATTCCTGGACAGACACTACAGCCGCCGCTGCCACCTTGACTGGGGCAACTTTGGGGGTGATGTCTTTTTTGGACAGGTAAAACGAATGCTTGCATTTGGTACAAGTCTTCACAGCAACTGGGTACTGAAATCAACAACGACAAACATAAATAAAAATTAACAGCGACAGTCGGATGACAACCAAAATGCCATCAACGGCGGCGCGGTAATTAGTTTTTTGACCTTACTGTAAGCCACAACCGGGGCAAATTTTTTTCACGAGAACTTTTTTGTGTTTTAACATGTAGTATCTGTGTACGTGAATTTGACGGTGGAAAAACACCGGCCGGCCCAAGGTGTACGTGTGCCGCGGGATGTCAGCAAGACGATACCGGCAAATCGAAAAGGACGACGTCTGCCGTCTAATCCAAACGCTGCCGGTGGCCTCTGGCGGACCGTACGCCAATATTTACTTACTTCATAAATCAACTCGAATTTCCCAGTTAGTAAATTATACTGTTGTTAAGTTAGAACAATTTTGATATTTTGATATTTTATTTAAACATGCCCTTGAATTTTTTTTTTATTTTAATTTTAATATTCATAAACATTTTTAAAAGTAATAAGTCTTGAAATCATTGCCTCACGGCTCCAAGAGAAAAATTATCATTATTAGATAAAATCCTGATTTTTCTTTATATTCTTCATATAGTATGAATATTTTATTTCTATTTGTGACTTTTGTTTTATAATTTTGTTTTAGGGAGAATTTTTGGCTTGATTTGTACGCCTCGGCGACCTTAAATTATTTTTGTTTTGCATTTGGTTTTCTATAGTTTTTTTATAATAATAGTATATATCATAATTTTATATTTGTTTTCTATTTAGTAATATTATAATTTTTTTTTCCAAGACAGTAAGACAGAAATTTAAAAACCTTAATTTTTATAAATATTATAAATAATATTCTGCAAATCATTAGGGATACAAATTAAAAAATGTTTTTTTTACTTTAACCATATTCCAATATGTAAAATTAAATTTAACACTAAATTAATTACCTATAAATAAAATTGTTTTAAATATTACAATTCAAGATAGGGAAATAAAAAATATAACTAATAAATACCAATTTATAAATATTAGAATCAGTATATTTATATTGTTATCCAAAATACCAATATTATACTGGTAAAAAATATTGCGAATAATATAATATTAAAGGCTATTGGTAATATTTAAATGTATATTAATCCAACTTTAGCAAGTATTTTATGTATGGTTCAATATGTACCTAATAAAATATAATATTTAAATATGAAATTAATCAATTAAAAGTTAGCACAGTGTATTTTGTCAATGATAAACAACTTACCCGAGTTTTACGTATGAATGCAGAGTCATAATAGTTAGGTTTTTTCACGGCGTACACGTTCAGTCCTACGGCGGCCGTCTGAACGTGTAGTTGGAGCGGTTGCAACATCGACAAAGAAGAAAATAAAAATTTAACTGTAGATAGTCGGAGTCGAGCAACCAAAATGGCCATCAACGGCGGCGGCGGTAATTAGTTTTTTTGACCTTACCTGTAAGCCACAACCGGGGCAAATTTTTTTCACGAGAACTTTTTTGTGTTTTAACATGTATTGATCTTTGTACGTGAATTTGACGGTGGAAAACAACCGGCCGCCCCGGTGTACTTGTGCCGCGGTATGTCAGCAACGACGATCCGGCATCACCGTTGACGGTCGGCGTGAATATCCAAAAGTCGAACGACGTTTGTTTAAACGGGAAAACGAAGAAAACATCAAAACAAATTGGTTTATTGCCATTTTAAATCGAAAAGGACGACGTCTGCCGTCTAATCCAAACGCTGCCGGTGGCCTCTGGCGGACCGTACGCCAACTACTGCTAAGTGGCACGTACTCAACTCGAATATTCCCACGTTCGTCGTTATCACTGTTCGTTACGTTGGCAACACTCATACGACTACGCAGCCTTGCCCGGTAATCGGTGACTTTATTCTGCGCCGGGTATTCGGAAACAAAAAAAACTAAAAAGCCACGAAAAATAAAATCCCGGACTCCGGAGAAAAATTATCGTTAATTAGATACATTTTGATTTTATCAACATATTATTTTATAAGAATTAATACTTATTAATTGTATTATGTGACTTCATAAAATAATATTATATTCATAGAATATTTTGTTTTATAATTTGTATATTCTTTAAATGTAGTTTTTGATATAACTATAGACTATAGTTATTTTTGAATCTATAGTACTATATGTAATTTGAAATTTCTTTTACAAACTTAGGTAAGTATTCTATATTTTTATTTCTATTTCATATGGTTTTAAAAGTGTTGACATTATTATCGTATATAATTACATAAATATATCAAATCATTACCAAATGAAAAAAAATGTTTAGTGTACTAACCTATTAATAGGTATTTTAAATTTATACAAAATAATTATTAAATCTAGATTTAAATATGAAATTCAAAAAGGAAATTTTAAAAATATACCTAATAAAACAATTATAAATATTTTATATTATATTTATATTGTTATTATTAATACGGTAGGTAGCTGGTTAGTTGAAGTAATATTATTTATATATTGTAATATTTATAGCTATATTATTATAGTATACTTTAGAAGTATTTCTAGTAGATTCGAGTACCCACGAATAATATTTTTAAATTGCAACACAAAACTAAAATTATTATTCTTAATTTAAATAGACTAAATTAAAATAACTAAAAAAACTGTGTTTGTATATTTTTTAGATTTTTTGGTTATAGAATTAACTACTTACGTGCAGTGGCGTATATAGGGGGTGGGCACAGTGGGCTGCACCCCCCCCCCCCGAAATTACAGTATTATTAAATAGAACAACAATATATTTTATTAGGTTCTAGTATAAGTTATAATATTTCATAGCCTGTTGAAAAATAACAAATATGAATAGGTATATTTATTGAAACTGTTACATAATAGTAGACAGTAGCCTTCAAGTAATATATCACTTGCTAGTTTCTGTCTACTATAGCCCACCCCAAAAATTATTTCTATATACGCCATTGCTTACGTGGAATATTGTTTAAAATTTTATTAAATGTAAAATTAAGTAATAAATAATATCAATAATTAGAGCATAGTTATTGAATGTTTAGTGTTTGTTGGTAAGGTGCTTTTTATCCTGAGCTTTTTTTTCCTAGATTCTCTGTGCTGATACCACAGTTCTCCTGGAGCAATAAGAAAAAAAAAGTTAGACAAGTTCACAACTTTGAACTTTAATCCCGGGTGACTGTGTAACATCCATGAAGAGTGAAGACTAAACAGAAAATAATTAAAATGTATAGGTTTATCTCTATAGTAGTCTAATAAATTGCACAGTTCACGACACTATATTTAACTAGTTACTATGTATATTACATTAGATAGGTAATGAATAATAATTAAATACACTGAGGCGTGGCCACGAGATGGGCTGAATATTATGTAAACACTAAACCGTCTAAACCCTGCTAATTTTGTCAAAAGTTGACAGACATTGACGAAAGTTCATCAAAATCACCAGCGCCTGATAAGGAATGTATAGCCCACCATAGACGCAAATATAGCGTTTGGGATTTGAGGGACTAAAGCCTTACTTTGAACTTTGATAGTACCTATTGTATAAGGTTAAAACAAAATGTAAGAAATGTTTGGGGGGCTATGGAAATTTTTCGGGGGGCTTAGCCCCTAAAGCCCACCGAGATTTAGTATTTTAACCGGCCCTAAAAGGCTCATTTTCATTACTAAACTGACCTACATTTTATGCGGCGTAGCGAGTTTAGTAAATATCTTTAAAATTGTCTTGTAAAATAATTGCCCAAACACTCGTAAACGGCCCACCGAGTTTTACTCGATAACTCGCAGGGCTAATCCTGCCCTGAAAATCACGAACATTTTTATACTATTTTGAGTTGGAAATTATTCATAAAAATGTTTCTTTTTATATCTAATATTCGAAAATTGAATACAAGATTCCTCAGATGTTTTTCTACCTTCGATGAAAAAAAAAGTTTACCGGATAGTCTCTTTGAGTGTTTAGGTTCACGAATATTAATATTATCTTAGTTATGTACAGTTGAACATACAGTAGAGTAGACACGGGGGGTGGCGTGGGGGGTCAGACCCCTCCCAACATTGGCTTTTTATTATTTTAGTAAAAAGTGTTGTGAGGGTGGGGGATTTTCCAATATTTCCCTCCCATTTAGCTATGTCGTTTTATTTTTTTGACCCCCCCCCCTTTCAGAAATTATGTTTACACCACTGGTAACATTGGAGAGTCGGATTAGTATGTATTATTTCTATATAATATTCTATATTATTACCTAATACCTAATTAAATAAATACTAAAATATGGTTTTTCCAGTTGTAACAAAAAATTCATGTGGGGGATATGACATCCAACCAACTCCCCCCCCCCCTCCCCGTAAACACATCACTAACCGTCGTGCGATGAGTGCCGACCATTATAGACCTATAAACTAATGGACAGCGCATTCCATTCCACCTTGCCATCAATGCTAGGTGATCATATTATAACCACAGATTAAATGATAATAAAACTGAGAGATAAAGAACAAAAAGTAGTGAAGGAGCCCGCATAAGGAACTGCATACATTTTAGTACTTTATTTAATTTCTCGCTCCCTCTATATCGTACCACTGACTTCTCTCTCTAAGCGCTCCATTATAGTTATATTATGTCTGCGGTGCTTACTGCCGAACATAATATTAATTATGACATATCGTGCATATTTGTTGATTAGTGATTACTGATTATCATGACAAATTAAATTAAAATCATTACCATGATCACACTGTAGACACGTCGTCTAGACACTGTTGTTGTTGTGGAGTGTAGGCAGTCCACGGATATATAAACATACGTTATAACTTATAAACATATGCTTATATATCTGTGAGACAGTCACAGTCTGTTGTAGTGATTAGTATTTAGTGGTGAGCTCGGTGAAGTGTTGACCATTGGACATTGAACTATGATATAGTTTATTATTATAATATAAGTCTATTATTATAATATAGTTCATTAGTTCAATGGTGCCGCCTAGCGATAACAGCTGACTTTTGCAATGCGCACGTGCGTTTTTTTGAACTTCGGCAACCAGCAACCGCAATCAACAATCATAAGTCAAATTCGTACTGAGAAATGTGAATATCAAAATCAATATACCTACTAACACTTCTTGTGAATTTCTCTAATGCAAGTATGTATCTTTGAACGATGACTAATAAGTACAGATTCTTATTTTAAATGCTTGTACTTCATATTATTATGATTATTATTTATTTATTAGTACTTTGTGTGGGAAAACAATACTTTCAGTCAAGGTGTATCAATACACCTTGCTTTCAGCATTTCATATTATTGTGATAACAAACGTCCTATCATATTTTCTGATTTTCATTACCTATTAATATACTTACCTATGTATATAATATTCCAAATTTGTTGAATTTGTTAAAAACCATGGTTATTTTGTTGTTTTAACCAATATAGAATAGACAGTTTTTAAAGACTGTAGGTACCTTGATATTTTTTATTTTATATTTGACAGGTAATCGATGGGTATTTCTAGGTATGCTATACACTCTAATCATAATATAGATATTATAGGTATAATACTATATTCTTTTGATTTATGGTTTTTTACACGTTACATGACATTATAGTCTTGTATAATATTTAAGTATACAGTTTGTAGTTTCATACTTCACACTTCATAGTACATAATATTTGATATTTATAAATTATGGTCTGTGAATATAACCGATGCTTCATATCACAATATTACACGTCCGTGCTCCATATTATTGTTAAGTATATCTCATATTTAATTAAATGAAAGCACTGATTTGAAGTTAATTTGTTAAATAAATATATGTAATGAGTACTTATGTTATGTATACATCTATAAATAATATAAAAATATAATTTCATATATTATATACTAATATTATATATTTGTTTTACTCTGTAGGATGAATAATAACAGTATGTCCATTAATAATAAATTTTCATTAATAACGTCAAACATTCCTGTTGACTTGGCGTTTGATTTCATTACAAAAACTGATATACAACAGTGTTTAGAATACCTTACAGCATGGTACTGCAAAATCGGCTGTATCCAATTATTTGACAATGAGAAAATTTCAAGTTTGGGTACAATACTATCTACGGATTTAATAAAAAAAGTGATAGCCAAATTACCCACAGTGGATTGTGATGATTATAAACTTCAAAATGACATGGAAAATCAATTTAATCAAAAGCTTAGCACATTGTATAATTTTAATATTAAAAAGTTTTTAATCGATTTTAAATTAGCAAACAATTCAGCTAATTTGGCTCGAGTGGTATGTAAATATTCAAATAAACCAATTATGTTTAATTTTAACGTACCAACATTAGAAAATGCTTGGGACTCTTGGAATACTTTTAGAAACATGACTGGTTATAGTATACAAATTGGTATAGTTTTGTGCCTCACTAAATATGTGCCAACTCATGATGAGATGAGTCGATGGATTGGTGAACCCGTATGTGCTTTATCTATTAGTACAAACCTTTTCAATTTAAACAAAAAAGGAAATCCAGTACTCAGTGAAGACCATGAAGATATTTTGAAAATAGCAATACAGCAAAAGTGGACAGTAATTTTATCAGGCGAACCATTACCAAATATGAGAGACTATTTTTATTACATAATATTTATTGCTAAGAATATTAATATCCCAGATCCAGTAATTTTTTGTGATGATCTTCTACAACTACCCTTGCAACCCCTCAGGGACAATCTTATGTCTTGTGTATATCATGTTTTTGAACAGGATCCGGTTAAATATACACAATACCAAAAGGCAATACATTTGGCAATCATAGACAAAAAGGTAAAAAATATTGTTATAGCTGTTATTGGTGCTGGTCGAGGTCCTCTAGTTAAAGCCAGTTTGCGGGCTGCAGATTTAGCAGCCGTAAATGTTAAGGTATATGCAGTTGAAAAAAATGAAAATGCTATACCGACACTACTTATGTATCAAAAAAACATTTGGGGTAAATCTGTTGATGTAGTTTTCAGTGATGGCCGAGAATGGGACCCACCTGAGAAGTGTGACATAATGGTGTCTGAACTTTTGGGATCGTTTGGAGACAATGAATTGTCACCTGAATGCCTAGATGGAGCTCAGAAGTGTTTGAAAGATGATGGGATAAGTATACCTTGTGAATATTCATCCTATTTAAGACCTGTAATGTCACATAAACTGTATAGTCAGACTATAAGAAATGAAGCCATCGATGAGTCATGCATAGCAAAGTCGAAAGATGCTGCATTTGAACAATCGTACATTGTTTTACAACCAAATAGTTATAAACCAACCAAGACCAAAAAATTATTTTCGTTTTATCACCCCAAAAAAACACTGGAAAGCAATGCTCGGTATAAATGCCTTAAGTTTGAAATAACTTCTAACATGCAATTGCATGGTTTTAGTGGTTATTTTGATGCAGTACTGTATAAAAATATCATGATTAGTATAGAACCATTAACTGAGAGTTTTGGCATGTTTAGTTGGTTTCCTGTTTATTTTCCAATCAAGGACACAATGTTTGTTAAATCGGGTAATATTATATCTGTGCATTTTTGGAGGTGTTGCGATGAATATAAAGTGTGGTACGAATGGTGTGTATCTTCTCCAAACCAAACACCTATTTATAATTGCCAAGGAAAATCAAATTCTATAAGACTGTAATAAATTAAGTAAATACTATTTTTTTATCATACATATTTGTAATATTTTTTTATATTATTGACTGATGTTTATCTATTCAAATTTAATAGTAAATTTTTTATCAACCCATGTTGAACATGTATTAATTAGGCATATGTTAATAGCTTATTTAGTTATGTAATACATATTTTATAATAATTATTAAATACACTTTATACAAATTATTATTTGATATTTTGATACCTACATTTTTATTTTTTATTCAAATTATAATTTAAGCCACTTATATCTAATAATGAAAGAAATTGATAGCACAATAATCAGAAAAAGAAGACAACTTAAAATCAATTCTTATTGAAAACACTTGCTTTTTGGTAAATCATTAAAAGTTACAACACATTATGATATTACATTTTTTCATTGAATTCAATTTTACTGGGTGACCATTACATATTAACATTATGTCGTTTGTCGTTACAACATTTAAATTTGAATAATTCCATAATTTTGAAATAGTCTTACTCTCTGGTTACTTGGCGTTGGCTCTCATCGGCATCCTTAAATATTATATACCTATAGTAGATTTTCGATAGTTCAAAAAACTCCACGAATTGAGCTAAACAGTATAGAAGCTTGATGCCCTGAAAAATACCTCAGTTATTAAAAAAAAAAAATCGTATTTCGGTCCGCTCTATAAATTGAAAATAATTAAGTGGGAGACACTAGGTACATCCACTATACACAATATTGATTTCATTAACAATTATCGAAAAAAAAATTTAAGATGTATTTATTTTTTAGATAACCTTAAACTTGAGCACATACTTTTCATATTGTGATAAGTAAAATCACGAATATAACAAAGGATTTACTTAGTTAGGTTCGGCGGTGATCGAGATAAAGAACTAAATGAGGGAGTCTTAGAGCCCTGAGAGGGTAGTTGAGAGTTTGAGACTGTGCCTGTTGTACATACTACATTTGAAACATTTGTTAATTTTGTATCGTCTTTACACAGGTAAGTAATTATTTCTACTTAAGTTAAAATAAAATTTTTTTTTTGAATTTGTTCGGGTCTTTTTGAGAGGTTTTTTTATTTTTATGAATACTCATATCGCGTAGATAGAAAAATAATTGATGATATCTATTCATTTTTATAAGAAATTTAAACCAATACTTATTGCAATTTCGTAATTACATTTTAAAAATGTCTTAATTTATTCCAAATTAAGTACATTATGTCTATTCATTACATTGTAATATGCTAATTACTTACACTAGTTACACTTATGTTTTTTTTATATATATTGAAAACAAATACCAATCGATTTTTTTTAATACCTAACATGAACCTTCTTATTATTGTTTAATGTTATCAGAACCCCGGAAACATTCTTCCGATCTTCGTTCTTATTTATTGTATACCACTACTCACTACATAGTGATAATTTAAGTGGACGACGGACGTCACACCCGCATGTGTTGTCTCCATCTTACAACATAGCAAAAACTGATTTATGAGGGACCACTACTCCCTCTGTATTTATAGTAGAATTAGCAAAATTCCACAGCGCATAAGGAAGAACTTTATATGTGTCGTAGTGTTTTGATTTATTTGATTGCACTAATCAACTATAGGTTTCAATAATTAAATAAAAAAACCTAATATTCTCAAATTGATAACTTTAAGTATATTTTTATTATCCAAAAGTAATAAGCCATAAGGTACCTATACTCTATATACCTGTTATTAATTATTATTATATATAAATATACAGGGTTTTGCACGATAAATGTGTAAAACTTGTTGTTTCTACACCTCAAATGGAACAAAAAAAGTCTTTATGACTATAATCGAATTATCAATAATAAGGGTGATAATTTCCATGGTTGTGTTTTTTTGGTTAAACGCAAGTTTGATTCATAATAATGTTCATATCTGCTTAACCGTAGGTACTACAATTAATTTGAATACATTGATGAAAAGCTCATAAAATTGGGATTAGGAAAACATATCTTACAAGGTTCCTACCGGTTTTTTGGGGTAAAAAGAATAACACAAATTTTTTTTAACTTTAAAATGTCGAAATTTTAAGAAAATTTCAGTTTTATTTAACAACAATTATTTTGTAAGGCAGGAGTTATAATAACTTTTTTTGTTCCATTAGAAGTGTAGAAATACCTCTAGAAGTTTGACACATTTACGTGCCCCGCTTGGTATAGGTAGTTATTGGCAAAATATTTTGAAACGAGTGATCGAAATGAGCATAAAAATTAAAATTGTCTACAAAACAAAATTAAGTGTATGTATATTTTAGATTTTTAGGATTGATGTGAGAAAATATTATTTGAGGAATTTTTAAGAGAAAAATTAAAAATAAATCTTATTTTTTATTTTTTCGAAAAGATTGAATATACCTAATACAAGGTTCCCATTTTGTATATATATCTTACAACAATTTATTAAAATATATCAAACATACAGTCTCAATTAATATAAGTGTTGAAAAATCATACAATTTTAATTTTTATCGCTAAGGCAATTAGGCTTGAAACTATAAGACAATCTTTCTCATAAGTTTTTTTACCGGAAAAAAAGTTTAGTATACCAAAGCCTACGTGAACTTTTTTTTGAGCGATTGAAATTTTGATAGATTGTAGATAGTAGATACCTACTTACCTACATAAATTTCTTGTCGTCGATTCGTCGGGTGGTGCATCGTTAACATCGTGCCATCGTGGTAGAAACGTCAATCGTGGGTATTTTAATATTATAAATTATAATAATATAGTATTTATGAATTGTGATTGTAATATCATAATTAATTTATATAAGAAATATATTAATTTAATGAAATATACCTAACAATATTATTAATGAAAAAATTTTTTTTTTAAATGTATATTATATTTAACGTATTATACCATTTAATTACTGTAAGCCATTAAAATATTATTATTCAAGCGATAAGCGGCGACGTTCAAGTCAATAATCCTAGACAATTATTATTGTTATTGATAATTGACAATACGTATCTAATAAATTGATGAGCAAATCGCGATGAATATAATATGTCACCCCATATAAAAGTTATAAAGTGAAACTTCCATTCAACGAAATATTTTTGAGAACCAAACCATTTTCATTTAATTATATTTAACGATTTCTTTACTAATTGTTTGTATTGACCATGAGATTCAGTACCTATTATGGAAGTTTCATCATAATTGTAACTCGTTGACCTGTATATTTCAGATAAGAACGTGGGATTCGTTTAAATATAATAATATTATCTAATATATTAATATAATACAAGTATAACATAACTGATTAAGTATACTATAATGACTAATGAGTATACTATATGTGATTGTATTAATTGTTTATTAACTAAGTTTTTATAACGTTTATTAAAAAGGCACAATATAATCGTTAGTCTTGCTGCTGCAGTCGACAGTCACCGGTGAAGCTGCAGTGTCGCAATTAATTGAATGTCTAGTTACGACATGGAACGAACGTTTTCGACGTATTTTGTCGTCGTCTTGATGGTTGTCATTGCGGTGGCATTGGGAGATCGACTGCAATGTAAAGACCCTAATGGCCAACCAATCGACTGGTAATTAAATATTTATTAATTTTCAGACATTTTTAAAAATTTGTCAAAAATATAGGTTCACGGCTATTAAGCTGCCGAATCTCAAGTCGGACTTGTCCGATGGGACGGGTTACATCTATATGGACGCCAAGAACCCGGAGTGGACTTACTCGACCGGGATCACGACCGAAGAGTCAGCTGTTGGACACACAGTGGCGCAGATGTACACAACCAACCCAACTTATAACGAGGTAATTTTCATAACGGCACAAGAATAATTATTACTATATTTTCTTCTACAGATGTATTTTAAGAGTGCACTTGCGTCTTTGTATATAGACAACAGAAATCTAGAGCATAAAAAACTCGTTGTAAACATACTTATAAACTGTATAAGTCCAATGGGATTTGACATATAACGCGCCTCCGCCCCATACCGCCTATCATCTTAGTTAGTTTTAATTGGTGTCTGCATTAGCAAAACAATTTAGAAACTTTTTTTTTATCTTTAACATCGGCAGCTATATAGACATTAGAATTTTGTAGGGGGGTTACAATCGTTTTCGTATGGGGAAACAGTACATATTTATATACATTTATAATAAGGTTTTACCTACGAATAACATTCCCCCCTCAACATTGTCTTAATAAAATATTTATGCTTATAGTTTCTACAGCAGTGCCGTCTGCAGAGGGGGAGGGGGATAACGGACTGAAGCCAACCCCCCCCAAAATTACCAGTATTATTACTACTTAAAAAAAAAATATTTATCAAATTTCAACTGTCGTAAACTAGTAAGAAAGACGTAAATTCATATACGTCTTACCAGAATGAATTCGTTTTTGCAAAAACATTGTATTCGTAATCCATTTTTCTAAAATGATTAGTATTTTTTTGGTAAAAGTATGAACTGCTTATATGAGAGACCGTTGTATTCAATTTTCAAGCCTTAACTTTAAAAATTTAATATTTTATAAATTTTAAACTACACATTAATTGTCGTTTTGTCAAAATTTGAACTTAAAATGCTTAGGTATAAAAAATAACCGTGCCTATATGTATCGTTACTACATTTTTAGATAAGTAATAGGTATAATAAAAACTTGTATTACATTTTTAAGCTTTTTGACCAAACAACTAATTTTTTATTGACGATTTAAAAAAAAAAAAAAGGAATTAAATACAATCCAAGCGTAGATGGTCTATAAAGGTTAGCGAACAATTACAACAAATTTTTCTTCATTTTTGTTTTTCCCAATTATTTTAAAAAATACTGAGAATTTTCAATTTCCACCCCCCCAAGATACAACTTTCTTCCAAAAACCTCCATCGAAGTTTATGATCAAAGCTTTTTACTATACTAGAAAATTTGAGGAATTGAAGTTGTACAAATATTTTCAAATATCTCACCTAAACGTCCAAAACTATTAGGCTGGACAAAATTATTAAAATAAAATTGTTGATAATTAATTTTCAAGCTCCCCCCCACTGAGTAATATTGGGTATGTAATAATTCCTCGTATAACTATTAATGCTGTATGTTTAATTGTTTAAGCCTTTAAGCGTTTTAAATATAATTTTTGGGAGACAAGTGCGTGCAGCATGGATCTATAACATTTTAGCGTTTTACAGTTTCTAACACTTTAGGTCCACTGCTATTATGTTCGTATTATATGATCATTTTACCTACTTTGACTACCTACTCATTACTCAAGAGTTCGCAGATAATATTATACGCACGTTTGAGGTTACATTTAAGGAGGGTCGTCAATACTCGTCGAACAATTAATTTTATCATAGTTTCTTGAATTGTATAAAATACACGATTTCGTCAACTCTGAGGATAACAAGAACCAGGGGCGTCATTTCAACTTTTTGAAAGGTATGCTAACATCAGGGCAGGCCAAAAAAATGTTCAGCAGGCCAATATATATTATTATATACACTATAATAATTAGAAAAAAAAATTTTTTCTCCCTCCGCTCGAAAGTTTGATTTTTCATCAATCAAATCATTTCATATAATACCAATATTGTACACCCAATACTACACAGTTAAAACGTACATTATTTTATTTTCAATATCATTATTTCATATTTATAAAAACTAAGGAAAACAAAACAAATTCTGAAATCTTTAATGACACATAAGTTATTTATCTACTATCTACTACGGCGTATGGTCTTATAGCATATAGCATAAGCCATAAATGATAGATGCCGATACTCGAGACCAATTATATATATAAAAATAAAAAAGGTGGCCAAGTGGATGTCGCTCTGCTGTACAGTAGGTTACAAGTAGGTCACTGTATAATGGATGATATTAAATTTGAATTCAACGATATAATATCATTGTATAAAAAAAACGATTCTGAGCGGAGACAGTAAGTCAGTCTAGGTATAACTGTATAAGACATATTATATACATATCTATGATATTAAACAAAAAAATGACCTATAATAAATTCCAAATTAATTATATCACAATATCCATTAAGTACTTATAAGCGTTATACATCAACAACAAACCGTGATACTATCATAGATATATAATAGTACACTTTAGAAGTTTCAAGTACCCACGAATAATATTATTCAATCGCAACAAAATAACTAAAATAGTTATTTTAGGTTTTTTAATATGTAATTTTGTCCAAATATGAATGTAAAATGTCTGTAAAAAATAAATGTGCTCATATTTTAATTTTGACCTCCCCAATTCACCAACGATATTCACTTTCCAATCGAACAAGATACTGAAGTTGAAAATCGAAGCATTATTTCGACTACTTATCGTGTACACAGACACAAAAAAAATAAAAAAAACACACATCATTGTAAAGTACTAAAGTCAATACATTCATCGTTCTACTCAGAATCTAAAAAGGATAATTTTTGCCCGGCGCAGAAAAATTATAGTCGGGCCAAATTGCATCTTGATAATTTTAGGTATTCATAGGCATACCCTGCAATACCCCAAATGACGCCCCTGACAAGAACCATATAAATACTTGTGAGTTGTGGTCTACTGCTGCTATATATTATACACCTGTATATTTTGCAGTCAATAATGTGGGCCGTGTACAACGATGCACCGACAAACGGTCCAGTGACGTTCTCAAAGGGCCATACCAAAGGCATGGTGGTGGCCAACAATAGTTCGGGCTTGTGGCTGGTGCACAGCGTACCCAAGTTTCCACAGTTACCTTACCAGAACAACAACTCGTACACTTACCCCAAGACTGGAGTGTTGTACGGCCAAAGTTTTCTGTGTATGTCGATGTCGGCCGAGGAACTGGACAAGGTAGGTGAGTTTGTACACACATTTCATTTATTATAAAATTCATTGTTCGGAGGGTAACCTGGTTGTATATTAATCGTTGTATCGACCCTGCAGGCGATCAGTTGATCAACAACGAGGTGCTAATGTACGGCAGTCACTTCGGGGGTGATCTGAAATCGACGTACCCAAGTCTGTACAACGCCACTCTGCCGCACCATGTTCCCGGAGTGAAAAACGATGGAGTCAGGGTACAGCCTCTTCAGTCTACTGGAGGAATTGAGTTCTTGTCCATTTCAAAAAACAGGCACTTTGGAAAAGGTACATTACGCATGTAAATATGTACATAATATTTAGACTATATATAGTTTAACCATACGCATAAATCGTAAAAAAAAGGTTATAAATTGTCAAAAATGTCAAGTATAAAAAATAATTTATAACCATAAATAATTCTAAAAGTCTTACCGATTATTTTGAAAAGGACTGTGTTTTTCCTACCCGATAATTACTAGCTAGATTCAATTTTCTAATAAAAACCACCCACAATGTTTAAAATCGAAGCACTTTAAATGTTTTATTATAAACAATCATCGTTATAAAACTAAAATTGTATCTCTCGGTTAAGAATCTTAAATTATATGTAATGTAATGTTTATTACAAATTCTATTCAATAAAATGTATTTTTAAAACGAATTCGAGTATGATATAATGACAAATGTTATGAATGATATTGTATTGGAATATACCAATACCTATATTTATAGTTTATACACCTATATCTGTAGCAGCCTGACGTGAATGACTTTCCGTGTATTTGACCAGATTTTGATCCATTATTGATGTATATAATCTGTTGATTTCATCACACTAGTACTCAAGTGTTATGTTATATGCAATTGTAGATTTATATGAAGACTTAATCACACACATGACAAAATCCAATGTGTACACAGAGACTTGGTTGAATTCGGCGGATAGGTTCAATTCGTCATGTTCCAGCAAATACAAGTAAGTTGAGGTAGAAATACACTGAGTGGATTGTCAGATTACTTTTGCTAAATAATAATGGTTTTAAGGGCTATGAACATTAAGTCGTTGGCCATGAAGAACATAAAGGGGCTGAAAAACGTGTCGTACAATTCGGCTAAAGACCATTCCAAATGGGTTGTAACTGGGAAGAGATCTATACATTGGACTTGCATTGGCGACATCAATCGAAGTGTATGTTTGTATTAAAAATACTATAATATAAGAAATAAATAACATTAATAATATCATTTAACATAAAAAATGTTATGGTTTTTTAGGAAAAACAGACAGAGCGTGGAGGTGGAACAGTATGCATACAATCATTACCAATATGGGATCAATATAAACAACTAGTGTCAGATATTGAAAAGTGTAAAATTTAGTGCTATAATCATTCCTATGACTCTCACCCATTGGCGCAACTAGGGGGGCTTAGCCCCCCCCCCAAAATTTATTATAGCCCCCCCAAATTGTTTTGATTATTTAAAATGTAATGATAATTTAAGCATGGGATAGTGAGATACATACTAAATAATATGAGTATATGACGCAGAGAATTATTCAAAAGTGAATTGTATAAATATAAAATATTATTATTATAGTTTTTTTTGTAATTCCTACAATCCTACATAATTAATAATAATATTGTTATCTAATAAATGTGACGGACGACGGTGGAATATTGCGGTGGTACAAAAAACCACATACTGTTGGAGATATCCATGAATGGTACATTATTAATAAATAATAAATTATATGCAAATAGTTTTTAGTCATTAAAAATAGTAGTTGAAATTAAAAGGCTTTTTTATTTTATTAGGATCTAAGAGAAAAAGAACACAGCCAAATAAACTAAGTAATTATATAACAGAAGTAAATACTGGTGAAAGTGAAGAGCATAGCTCAAATGATATTATGACATGCTATCGTGTCAAGTATTTTATTATTTTGGACACTGTAATAATGAATCTTAAAATGAGATTTTCAAAAGAAAGTATGGAGTTGGCTAAAAGTGTAGATGGCTTTTAATGTTTGACTATTCAAAAAGCCTTACATTTATAAACCATTATAAAGTAAGTTAATTAATTGTTTTTAAATTAAACATTAATGAAAAAAGAATGTTAATGCTAATTTATTTTTGTATATAATTTATTTAATATCGATTTGGAAAGTTTGAAGGCAGAAATGATGGTAGCACAAAATCTTAAAAAACAATCTACCGATAATAAAATTATGACACATGCAGAAATGGCTGAAATTGTATCACCTAACACTTTTCGAAACTTGTATAAATTGTTGAACGTAGCTTATACAATTCCTATTAGTAGTGCCACTTGTGAAAGAGCATTCTCTGCTATGCGGCGGGTAAAAAATTGGCTACGTTCAACAATGTTACAAGACCGTTTTTCAAATTTATCTTTACTAAGCATTGAAAGAGACTTAACTAATAACATAGACAGCGATACTGTCTTAGAACATTTTATAGCTAATAATAAAAATAGACGGATAGATCTTAATATGTAAATTACAAATTAAGATTATCGATTATGTCATATTTTATGTAAAACACTACATAGAAGTAGGTACATGATTTTTAATAATATAGTATGATAAAAATATTTTATGATTGTTTTTATTTCAATTAATAATTATTGTTTTGTGGCTGCGGCAATGGGGGGTATGGGGGGCAAAGCCCCCCATGACTCACATTGACAAAATTTATTTGTAGGGCTTCAGCCCCCCCCCCAATATTTTAGACCTAGTTGCGCCAATGCTCTCTCACCAGAGTGTTATTATTGTTTAATATTCTACCGTTGTGTATTTAGTTTTAAATACCTACTCATCAAGTGCCACTAGTGGGTGGCTTCTTATCAAGTATTCATACATTTTGTAAGCCTTATCAAATATGCTTATTGTGCATAATTAATGTACAGATAGTATATATTATTGTGTAAAATAAAAATAAAAAAAATAATGTACCTACTTGTTTAAACTTTGAAGAATCTTCGCCTAACACAGACAAAAATTATGACTTATGACTTATGAGTGTTACAATATTATATTATACATTAGTATAAGAAGACAATAATAGGTATTTTTAAAATAAGCTTAAATTACTTTTGTAACTACATTCAAAAAAATTCTCAATTTATTCAAAATTTTGTGTTAAAGTTCTTTGTAATAAACTAATCACATATTATACTTAGTTGTTTTTGTTAACAAAATATTATTAAATGCCAAACATATATTTTATAATTTATAAATAAATTTAAATTTGTATTGAACTTTATAATACAATCAACGACGGACAAATATTATTACTATGTCCTAATGTTTGAGTACATAATATCTCATGTGTGATGTATAAAATCACAAATTTAACAAAGGACAGAGTTAGTTTCAGGTGGTGGCCGAGATAAATAACTAAATTAAGTTTACATTACTGGCTAGACGCAGTACTGTACATATGTCTGAAATTTTTTTTTTATCCTTATGACCATTAGTATTTTGTAGGAGGGTTACAATTAGTTGATGAAGCGGTGATATTGAATTGAGTCCCACAAATACTTTTGAGTTATCAGAGTTGAGTTCGACCAATATTTGTTAGGTTGTTCAAGTTGAGTTCCTTCAGCCTATTAGCATTATTCAGGAGATACAACGCAGAAGTTAACTGAGTAGTCTCCCAAAAAATCTGTGCGATTTTTAACAATGTTTTTTTTTTTTTTTAATTTTAAATCATAATAAGAAAAAAAAGTTAATTCATTAAAAAAATATTAAAAGTAATTATTAGTAAATAATAATTATATGTAATAAAATAATGCTAACATATAAATAGCTGCTGGTAAAAATTATTTAAATGATACTGATTTTAAAAAGTTAAATCGGAAAATTTGTTTTTTTATATTTGTTTATCTGTTCCTGTAAAAATTGTTAATTTTTCAATGTTTTTTGCATGGTTTTGTGCCATTGATTTGTAATTTTAGGTATGTATCTGACTGTATTCCCAGAAGATTGTCAACAGGAATAAATAATATTTGAATGTCCATGAATATAAAACTCCTAATTTTTGCAGTCGATAATGTGGAGGGGTCGTGTACAACGATCATCGGTCCAGTGACGTTCTCGAAGGGCCATTCTTAGGGCATGGTGGTGGCTGACAATGGATCTGAATACGGTATACCAGAATCTATACAATGTCACTCTGTCGCACCATATTCCCAGAGTGAAAAACAATGGAGTAAGGTTACTACAGTCTCTTTACTCTACTGGGGGCTTTGAGTTCTTGTCCACTTCAAAGAACAGGCACTTTGGAAAACATACATTACGCATATATATAATATACACTACTTATTATTTGTATTTCAACTTTAATAATATACGGAATGGAGATACAAATATTAACAATAATAAAAAAAATTATACAAAACATAAGATTTAACACAAATTGTATTCAATAACATGTACGCATTTAACAAATTGAACTGAATGCAAGTATGACAATAAGAAAAAGTATTGGAATGCACAAAAAGTGACTAGAAGTTAATGGTTTTTAATTTATTGAACTTAATGGTTTTATCACAGAACAGATATAAAAAATTATAAAACTTATACAATTATAGATTTGTACAAAGACTTTATCATACATATGGCACAATCAAATGTTTAAACCAAGACTTGGTTGAATAAAAGAGGTTGGTTCAATTCATCATGTTGCGGTTAGTACAAGCGGGTTGAGGTAGAAATAAATTGAGCATATTGTTTGGCTTAATAATAATATTTTTAAGGGCTATGAACATTAAATTGTTGACCATAAAGGACATAAAAGGGTTGAAAAATGCATGGTACAATTAGGCTTTGGATCATTCCAAATGGGTTGTGACTAAGAACGACGGCAATACTTCTAAACATTGGACTTGCATTGGTGACATCAATCGAAGTGTATGCTTATTGGAAATACTGTACCATAAAAAATAAAAATATATCAATATTATTTAACATGAATACTTTTTTTTAGGTAGGATAGATAAAACGCGGAGGTGGAACAGTATGCATAAAATTGATGCCAATATGGAATCAATATAAACAACTAGTGTTAGATATTGAATAGTGTAAAATACAGCGCTATAATGGTATAATGTGACTCTCACCTGAGTATAACTGTTGCTTAATATTCCACTGTTATGCATTTAGTTTTTAAGTATTCGTTCAAAGCTTCTTCACCTGATGCAGATAATAATGAGTATAAATTATACTTAAAAAATAAAAAAATCTTTAAGTAATCACTGTACCTAAATCCTTGCCAAATCCAGATTTTTTGAAACCACCAAAAGGCGCGGCAACATCAGTTTTATTATAAGTGTTTATAAATACAGTTCCAGCATCAATTTTTTCAGCAAATCTCAATGCCTTGCTTATATCTTTTGTGAATATGCCGGAAGATAGACCGTAATCAGTTGAGTTTGCTCGCTTGATAACTGCGTCTAGGTCACTAATGTAAAAGTTGATGTAATACAAAGACTTATATAATATTGTTCTATAAGTACACAACAAGTATTATTTATACCTGCTACTAAATTTAGTAACAGCCATAATGGGTCCAAATGCTTCTTCTTGAGCAATAAACATATGATCTTCAACTCCTGTGAACACAGTCGGCTCAAAATAGTATCCTGGTCGATCCACACGTTTCCCTCCGATCTTCAGTTCAGCTCCTTCATTCTTTGCTTTAATGCAATAGTTAATTAATTTTTCCAAATGGGCCTTATGATTTTGAGGTCCGTGATGAGTGTCGCGTTCTAACGGGTTTCCAATTTTCTAACATAACAAAAAACTGTTAAACTATAATCATTTACTACTACTCAATACTTAATAAATTACAATAAAATAACCAAATCCAATTTTGTTTCTAAAAAAAAACTCATTAATATTTTTGTAGTATTTACTTGCACTGGAAGCTAAGAAAATTAAAAATGGACTACAAAGAACAACAAGACTCTATTTAAAATTTGGAGGAACTAAAATGAGCTTTATTTAAGACAAATTTTGTATACTTTTTTAGTACAATATAATATAGATGGCTTTCAATACAGTAAAATGTTGGTTCAATTTTGAGTATTTTCTGTTTTAGTAAAAATGATTTTTTTTTTTTTAGATTTAGTCAAAAGTGTCTTATTAGGTAAAGGCATTCATTTTTATTTACTTTTTTAGCTACCTTCTAAGAAAAAATAACCAAGTTTTTTTTAATACCTACTTCAATACTTGTCAGATTTACTTACAATTTTTTTTACTTCTTCAACAACTTTGTCGATAAATTTGTCATGTATGCTTGATTCAACAAAAACTCTACCTGCAGCTATACAATTTTCTCCTTTGTTGAAGAACACTCCTCCCATGCTCTAGTAACATCAAAAGTCAAATGCTTACAAAATGGATAAAATGCTATCAGACAAACATACAAACATACCATTCTAACAGATTTGTCCAAGTCGCAGTCATCGAGTATAATCAAAGGGGATTTTCCACCAAGTTCCAAAGATACTTTTTTGAGATTTGATTCAGCCGATGCTTTCATGATTGCGTGACCGGTTGCTGTACTGCCTGTGAATCCCACTTTCCTGATGTCTGGATGTTCAGCTATTGCTCTACCAGCCTCAGAACCTAGTACACCATACATTTTAGTACATTACAATTACAAAACTAAATTATTCACTCAAATCTACTGTAATAATACCAAGCCCAGGAAGAATGTTTATAACGCCAGCTGGAAAACCAGCTTCTACAGACAATTCAGCAAACTTCAGTGCAGTGAGGGGTGACACTTCTGTTGGTTTCATTACCACTGTATTACCCGCCGCTAAACAAGCCGCCATCTTCCAGGACAACATCATCAATGGATAATTCCATGGTGTAATAATACCACAAACACTGTTTTCAAACAAAATCATAGAACAATATTTAATTATATAATAATATATTATGTATATTTAAAGTTGTCATTTTAAATAAACCTACCCGAATGGCTCTTTTTTTGTAAATGTCAAATTTCTATTTGGTCTAGCATGTGATATTGGTATTGTTTGCCCATGTATCTTATCTGCCCAGCCGGCAAAGTATTTCCAAACATCAATAGACATGCCAATATGAGTTTTCAATGCTAATGTGTACACTGCACCAGAATCAATGGACTCTATTGTCGCTAATTCTTCTCTATTTTTATCTAATAAATCTGCTATCTTATACAAAATAGCTCCACGATCACGGGGACTCATTTCAGACCATTCTCCTTCAAATGCCCTACTTGCCGCAATAACTGCTTGATCTACGTCAGCTTCAGATGCACATTGAATCTAAAATCATACAAAGTTCCAACAAGTTAAACCCAATAAACTTCTTTGCAATTTGCAATATAAAATAATACATTAGAAAATCGAAATTAAAATAAAAAAAAAGTTAAAAGTTTTCATTATTTATATATAAAATTTTGGAGTAAGTACTTACTGAGCAAATAACAGATTCGTCAGCAGGATTGATGCATTCCAGGGTCTTTCCAGACTCAGAGTCTACAAACTGTCCATTGATGAATAATTGTTTTGCAAACTGTAATTTCATATTGTTGACATCAACCACAACTGGATCATATTCTACACGAATATTGTCATCGGTTGAACCTCTTGACCTCTTGACCAAGGTGTTACAGAAATCAGAGAAAACAGGAGACATATATACATCATCGTTCTTCAGAGTAAATTTCAATTTATCCTTGATTTCTTCAATTAACCTACATTAATTTATCATAGAAACTGAGTGGTTATTAACTAAGAACTAGTTATTTTGGAAAATTAAAATTACATTTAATATTTTATTACCTGACAACGTCCATAGAACCTGCACCAGATTGGAAGAAATGAGTATCCTTCCCAATTTCCATGTTTAGGATATTTTTCCAAATGGATTCCACTACAGGGATGTATGCTTTTTCTTGATCGGTATAGTCAATAGTTTCTTGAACAGTGTCTGCATTACCGTAATTTGATGCAGCCATCATTTTTCCATCCACAGACAACCTCTCGATGTTTATCTAACAGGAAGAATTAAAGAAATTGCATTCAGTATATAATTAAAATGTATAGGAGAAAAAAAACAATTTAGAGGACAAAATTAATGTCTAATATTATATAATATCATATTTACTTTTAGACCATCATTGCAAGTAATCAATAAACCATTACTATGTACAATAGCTGGGAATTGGATTGTATCAACAGTCACTTGTTCACCAGTAGGTGTTTCATTTGTCCAAATAGATGATTTGTATAATTTTACTTCTGTTTCATTTATGATAGTCCAAGCACCTGGAGAACTGTCCAGCCCTCTAATGAAGTTCTGAATATCTACTCCACTTCTGGACCAATCTACCTAAAATCAAACGCTAAACATAACAATAAACCCAACAAAATTATGCATTGTATGTGGTACCTACTTTTTGTAAAGCCTTTTTTCTTACAGATGGTTCAAAAGAAGACCCTTCTGTAGACTGAGGAATAACTGGAGCTGTACCATTAGCCACCATATCAACAGCTTCAGCCTAAGTAATTTATAACATAATTTTCATTTCATAGTTATTATTGTGTAGCCTATTTTTTTTAAAAAAACTGGAAAACTATTGTAATTTTTTTTTTTTAAATAGAACTTATAATTACCATACTTTTGATGCCTTCAGGATATAAAAAACGATTATACAAAGAATCAACTGTGTCATCTGGTAAGACTGGGCATGATTTTTGAGACAGTATTGGACCAGTATCAAGTCCGTCATCAGCCCAAAATATAGAAAAACCTGCTTCTTTGTCTCCATTCATTAGTGTCCTAAAACACATATTTAATAATAAATAAATAATGCAACTCATTATATTATTATCTTACCAATTTATGGCGCTAACTCCTCTGTGTTTAGGCAAAATTGAAGGATGGTAACATATACTTTTATGTTTTGGATGTTCAATAACCTCCATAGGAATAAACTGTGAACAGAATGGTAGTACATTGAGTTCAGCATCAACTTTCTTGTACTGAGCTACAATTTCAGGTAATGCATTTTCACCTTTACGCCACGATTTGATTTTAAACACTGGGGTATTGTTTTCTGAAGCAACAGCCGCTAATTAGAAAAGAGAGAGATAATTAGTAAATAATTTTGCATGCAATTAAAATAACTTCATATATTTATTTTTTGATCCATGCTTTTAACAATAGAACTATAAAAATAAATTAAACTAATATAGGGCAACTATAACAAATATAACTACATATTTTGGTGTTAGATCGCTATAGTGTCATAAACTCATAACATAATATGAGTTATGATATTAGTCAGAGGAAGTCAGTATTATATGCAGTTTTTGATTTATTTATTTTAGGGTGAACCTAGAGGCATAAACATCATTTTTAATAATAATATAAAATATATGAGTAGAATTAAATATTAAATCACATTTAGTAAATCAAATTAACATTTTTAAAAATATTTTTTTTCTCACATGAATATAACTTGAATTTGTCTTTTTTAAATCTTAATGAGTAGGTATACAAATCATGTAACTACTGATAAGTATTTTATCTTATACCTATGTAAGTTATTTTATAACATGTAAGGTTTATAATATTATATTTTATTATTTTTTACTTTTCATTTAAATTTTTAATGAGCTTGGAACTGTATTTCATTTGTAAATTCTTTGTAATGGTATACTTTATTGAAAATTTGTAATAAACTAATATTATATTTAAAGTAAATATAATTTTGTTTTAGATAGTACCCATTCTTAATAACAATTATTAGTAACTATTAGAATTATAATTGATTATATTTCAATTAAATTTAACCATGAAATATTTCTTCATTGAAATATAAAACATTATACAGGTGAATTAAATTGTCTACAGTAGTTCAATTATATTGGAGGATTTATTTAATATTAGTTATAATAAAGTGAAACCAATTTGATTTGGTTGATTTCATAATTATTTGTATTTACATTAAATATTAAAAACTGTAAAGTTGTTCGTTGTACTAAAGTTTGAACTAGTTGAACTAGATAACCAATAATTAGTACAAAGTTTAATATTTGCAATTTGAATCTCTTAATATATTGACATTATAAACTTTTTAGATATTAAATAGATAAGCAAATGATATTGTTTTATATATAGCTAATAGTTCATTACATTTTTATTTTACGGTTAAGCAAATAGAAAATTATCTTCAAGAAAGGTGTAGACATTTTTTACTTATTTTATACATTTAAAAAATTTAAATTAAAAGGATTAGGTACCTCCTAACCTTTTTTAATAACATTTTAAAGTGAGTAAATTGTTTAAGTACCTAATTTATCATATATTGGACTTGGATGTTAAAAATATATTTTTGTTTATAGTTTAAAAGTTTGCATACATAATAATTACAATTCTTTTTTTTTTGAAAAATATACTGAAATATACTGAAAAATTATCAGCATTAATATATTTTATATATAAAAAAAAAAAAAAATGTATTCCTAAACATGAATAATGTAGGTCATACCAATGTGAAATTAGTTGGTACCTACTACCTACCCAATGGATCTTGCCGATTGCCTTTGTCTAATATGGTAAACACACCAACTATGCGGTGACCATTTTTCAACAACAACTTATACACTTCGGCTGCAAATGAACTCTGACCGATGATGGCAACATTTAAGTCCCGTTGATTGGTCTACAATGAACAATAAACCATTAGAACAAGTGAGGTGATCAACGTTCGAAAAATCATACTTACCAGACCGAAACGAGTTGTTGGTCGACATTTAACAAATTTTCTGAGCATAAGCATGTTGAACACCGCTGGCAATACTGAAACGGCTCGGAAAAGTGCTCAACAGGTTTTGATTAATAATTATTAAACTATCCTTACAATTAACTTAATCCTAACGGGAGTGTACTTGCACAAAACTACTCACACCCGTGGACCGTGGTAGGTCCTAATATCTAAATACTAGTATAAATTCTAATGATCTAATTTTAAAGACGACCGGGTGTATAGTCGGCGAGTGAATTTTAATTTTTCATAATTGACAGCGATTTGCGTTTGGTGATAAGACGATGCACCTATATAATATATTATTATTATCACGAAATAGGACAAACACTGCACGTCGGCACCGCACACGTGGACCGGTAATTTTTTTAGATAAGGTTTGTTTAACAGTTTAACACGATGAATACGCACAACCACCGACTGTCTACAGTCTACAGTCGACACTCAATAGTCCACAACCTAAAAACAAAGTAACAAACCATTAATTAAGGTATAATTAATATAATATTCGGTGCTTTCTATTACCTACCTCACAAACATGAATACATGAACCAATACGACAATAAAGCCCAAGAAAAATAGTATTATGATGCCGCACACATTTATGATATAAATCTATAGGTAGCCTGATTCCGTACACAAAAATAGTTCGATACCGCATAAATGTATTAAATGTACCAATACAAAATTGAAATATAAAAAAGAGGGGCTCTGCTGTACAGTAGGTTACAAGTGGGTCACTGTTTAATGGATGGTATTAAATTTGAATTCAATGATATAATATCATTGTATTTGTATAAGAAAAACGATTCTGAGCGAAGACGGTATGTCAGTCTAGGTATAACACATATTATATAGGTACGTATTATCTATGGTATTAAAAAAAAAAATTGAAATATAATAAGTACCTATAGGCTATAATAAATTCCAAATTAATCATATCACAATATCCATTAGGTACTAATAACACGTTATACATCAACAACAAACCCTGATCTTATCATAGATATATAATAGTGTAATTTAGAAGTTTTAAGTTCCCACAATCACAACAAAATAACTAAAATAGTTATTCTAGGTTTTTTAGTAGGTATGTAATTTCGTCCAAATTTGAACTATAACTTTTTATTACTATGAACTTTATTTAATACCTATTGATTTATCACAATATATTATTGTAACCAACCACAAAAAAAAAATAAATAAAAATCCTTCATGGAACAACATTTTGACTAATTTGTTGCTGAATTAAAACTAAATTTTTTTTAATAAAGGTCTTATAGGCGCTTACAGAATAATACATTTTGTAGATATGCCAGAGTCCTCACTCCTCAGACTCGTAAACATGCATATTGTGTATGTTATTTAAACAATTTATACAATTGTAGGTATATAAGCTGTTATATTTATTTGAAGAGCTGGTTAAATGAAAAATATTAAAAGCAATATGTGACGATGTCGATACATTAGTATATAATTTTTTTAGTTTTATTTTCTGTTTTATTTGTACCCACAAGTTTATAATAAATTAGAAAAAAAATAGCACAATACATTTCCAAATAACAACATGCAAAATTGTTATACCATTTTCATAATACCTACCATAAATTATGAAGAGACTTCTATTTATTCTTTTAGTAAGTTTCAGCCTTTAAGAGCCCTATTATTGAGTCAAATTGGCGCCATCTTTCCCTGTTCTTTGCATTTTCTCTCCATTGTATATTCGGTTTCCCTGCTTTAACATAATTGCTGACACTGTCTTCCCGCCTTAAACCCGGTCTACCGAACAGATTTTTCCCAAAAGGATCTGCCTTAATAACCGTCGTTGTAATTTTTGTTTGTCTGCACTTTGCATATATGAAAAGTTATCAAAAAAAGCTTAAATTTAGGTGTGATTTCATGTAGCAAATTAGGTAGGTAATAAATATGGACCCAATTGTCCCTGTAGTGGATGGTGTTACATTTGAATGCAATGATAAAATATCATTGTATAAGAAAAACGATTCTCAGCGTGGACGGTCAGTCAGCCTATGATAATTACTAAGTATATTTGATGATATTATAGTGATTAAAGTAATTTGTATACCTATTATAAACTATTTACGTGGAACCTTGTTTTAAAATTTCAATACTTAGAAATAAAAGTTGAACATTTTATAAATTTCATACTACAAAACGATTATTAAATTTTGTCTAAATTAGAACTTCTTTTCCTTTTTTTTTTTTATTGAGTTTGGGCCCAGCAACTTAGGCCATTAGCTGTTGGTCTTTGGTTCGGTTTTACTTTGTAGGTTGTTAGTAGGGGTAACGGTTGAAAACACATTTTTGCATGTGTGGCAAGGATTCGTTGCTAAAAATCCCGTATGGTCAGTGGTCACCCATCCGGGAACTAGTGTAAATATGTTCATTTGTTTTATAGGTACACCAAAAATCTGCAAAATCGATTTTGTTGAAAACTGATTTTGCATAAAACATCCCGTCTTCCCTTAATTTTTATGCTGTTTTTCCCCGCGCTTTTGTAGACTATTAGCAATTTTAAATTTTGACTTTGCCAATGCAACACCAACTAGATTCACTTTCCCATCAAACAGGATACGGTTGAAGAAAATCGAAGCAATTTTACTGCCTAAAACGGTGGTGACAGATTCAAAAATAAAATTATTATTATTTAAACTTTAATTGGAAAAGTACAGCAGTCTCAGTGTTTTTCAATAATTTTCGATGAAACTACAGATGCAGCGCACAGAGAACATATGAGTATGCCTCTAAGATATTATTTAAGTACATAAGAAGACAAATCGAGAGGATTTCATTTCAATTGTTGATTGTTATGAGTCAATTTGATCTGAGGACATTGAGGTAACAACGACGTTTATCTGGAAAAGTTCTAGGACACATTGTTATTGATTTTTGTAAAAAATTCTCCTTCATTTTAGTGTAACCAGAAAAAAAATCAATTTCTTACATAACTTAGATATAAGAATAAGGAATTCAAATATTTTTTAAAAATTGGACTTCTTAAAGTAACTTTTTTTCATTAGCTCATTGGTATAAATGCAGGGAAAAATTACCCACTTTCAACAGCCTTAAACTTTTAACTTTTTCTTTGACTTTATCGTTATAAAAATTAAATATTATAGTATATGATAGACTGAGCTTGACGGTGGTGTAGATAGTGTACTTAAAGTGTATTAGTATTGTACACTGTATTCGGTTCAAGTATTTACTTTAAACGGCATTTACCGAGCGAGCAAAATATACCGAACGAACAGTATTTATCGATACATACTGACATACTGGTATACCGTTAAAACCGGTATATAAACATATACCAAATACCGGTGGGCAATTTTCACATACCGAAAACTCTAGTATTTATGTATATTGAAAAAGACAAAAATATGTGTAGCAACTAGCAAGACTAATGACTGATGAGAAAGCATATAGTTTTTGTGAGTAAAATGTATGTGTAAGATATTTAAATATAACAAAGGGAGAACCTTTTTTTTTTTTATTATTTACATGTAAAAAATGGCGTATTATATACTGTATTAGGAGCGTCATATTTATGTTTGCTCCTCAAGTCACCAATACATTATCCCTTAATAATTACGGCGCTGTTCATTATAACACTGTTTTTATTATGGCGATTTTTGAGATTAATATTGTAAGAATCAAGACTTTACATTTATTTCTCTATTTTCTTATCTTGATAATAATATAGTAGAAACTGTTTAACTGTGTAACATTATAATAGTTTAATTCTAAAAAATAGTTTAAATGTTGCGTTAAATTGTTTGTATAGTGGTTTAGAAGTATGACAGTGTATATTAAATATTATAGGTGTATACCTATAGCCTAAAGGCATGGACAGTATGGTTTATTTAATCACACATGCTATGTATTATCAAAGCTCTACAAACATAAGAAGGTATGTTCTAAGCTAAGAGTTAATATCACCATATGCATGAACATACGAAAAATATCAAAAAGCACAGAATATCTGTTTAAAAATACAATATTGCAATACATTTTATAATATTCTATAATTTAGAAGTACTTAACTAATTTTATTGTTAAAATGGTGAACGTAAAACTATTTTTTTTTTTCTTTTTGTGTTTGACGGGTAAGCATTTTGAAGTTTTTTCAAAACGACTTGAAACTATGCTAAGTTCTATAAAAGTTAGTAGCATAAGTGATTATGATTTATTTTACAAAAAAGTTAACATTTCTGAAACAGAACAGTCAACAATATATATGAACTATTCTTCAGACGCGACTGATCAAAAATCATTAGACTTAGAAGTAAATGCATTTTACATTTATTTAAACTGTAAGTTTTCAAGCTGGACCATATATGAGTTGTATAATTTCGTCAATAAATTTCCTTCATTTTATTCTAATACATTTCCGAATAGTTCAATTGAAAAAAGTGAATTTAGTACAGAATTTGAAAAATTAAAAGAAATTTTAGAAAATATTTTAATACATATTGAACGTTTCATAAATGAATTGAACACATTTATAAACAAAAAACCGATGTTTTCATACTACAGCGACACGTCTATCTTAGATGAATTGCTATTATTAAAATTAAAATTACATTATATAACTACTAACAGAATTTTATTAGATAAAACTATTATTGGTATAGTTCTTGGATCTATGAATGCTATTCAACGTTTTTTGACCATAAATTGTAACGATTCACCACCTAATTATGAAGACCCACATTTTTACGGTTATTCAATAGTGAAAAATAATTCTGAGACAGACATTTATAATTTTTTACAACTTATTGAAAAAAATGATGTGAAATTTGATCCAAAAAATCAGACAACGTGTACAATATACGAAATATTATTAGGATCAATAGCCGAAAAAATCTTTGATGATGCGACTATCCAGGCAGAAGTGTCTACTACGGAAACCAAAAGTATCATATTTAATGATTATTTAATAGAAGTTCAAGAATCATATGACATTGAAAGTATATCCAGGTATCAGATTACTGTTTTTAATGGAATCATACAACTAATATACACATTAATCATAATACTAAACGCTAAATCCAAAATTAATGAAAATTTAAATAAATTATGTTCCCCTCTTATAGAAGAATTAAAACAAATTGAGGATGTTCCAAAAGATTTTATTATTTGTATGAACGAATTGTCAAACTTATTTCTCGAAACAGCTGTTAAGGAAGATATTATTGAAAACATTAACAACCATATTGAATCACTTAACAGCAAAATAGAATTAGATTACACCACGGCTAAAATTGATGATGTTCAAAACAAATTGTTGGACACTTTAAAAGTGATTTCATCTAAAATTGGGGAATTTCAATGTTTCAATCAGTATTTTAAACAGTCACATTATGAACACAAGAATAGATATTACAAACCATTTACTAAAAATACAAAGATAATTGAAACCCAGACAGAAAGTGAATTCTACATGGAATCATTCTGTAGTTTTACCAAAAGTATATATAAAATATGTTTTGAAATTACCATACTTAATAATAAAGGAGCCAGTTCAGAGAAGAATAGTTCTCTTAAATTGTACACTGAAGTATTGAAGGACTTTCAGGCAATTAAAGAATATTTATTTAGATTAATTCGGAAAATGGGGACAAAAAATTTGGAGCTTCTTAAAACTGCAAGTAATATAATCATTATTTTGGAAAACCGGAATAACTATTTTCGCGATATTTCTAGTAATATAAATCGACTAGCGCATATTGTTATGAATGAATTAGATAGGTATGGAATTAAATACTGTAAACCAGGCAAATATAATTTTTTGCACATTAACATTATATATTATAGTGAATTCGGAAATAAAAACGTCATCACTGAAGATATAAATCTGTTTTTGGCTGATCGACCGGAAACTAATTATAATTATAATCATTTTGATTTATCGTTCTTGTGTGATAAATATGTGAAAGACTCACTTGTTTTCCCTTATTATAAGGATCTGATAATGGTGTACTGGAAAGGAGAAAGGAGAAATATTGAAAAATTTAGCATTATCGAGGAGTCGTTCATATTAAACCCTGACTTATTATATGCATTTTTTGATATTTACTTCAAATTTTATGTTGCTGCGTATTTGTACGAATTAAGAATTTTGTGTAATATTATAAAAAATAATAGCTGTAAATACAATACAACAATGGTTTTTAAAGAAGAAAGATTTCCAGAAGATCTGAGATCATTTATAGTTAAATTAAAAGACTTGGAAAAATTATTGGTTACAATTAAAGAAGATGAACATAAAGTTAAGTTGGTTTCTAAAGTTGACAATTTATTACAAAATATTGAATTACAGTTTAATGAGTTTGGTTTTGATTTTTTTTATAAAAGTAACAGTAATCAAAGTGAATCTTATACACACAATAACTTAATAATAATATCCAAAGAAATATCAACTAAAGTAAAAGAGTTTAATAATTATTATTATTTATTAATTAACCCAAAGCCACAGGAGATTGTAGAAGGAAGTACCTGATCGCTCGCTTTCAATTCCTTTAATATCGATGTGTTTTTAAGTATCTTGAAATTACCGCAAATACAAAATTTCTTACATACGTACATTTATCTATTTATATTATATTTGATTAAAAATACTTTGGGTGTAAGTATATTATACGATATGTGTGTATGATTAAAGTAATAGTATAATATAGTTAGTAACTAATAACTAATCACATAATTTTGTTTTAGCAATTTTACTATTATAGGTACCTAATATACATATGTATAATAGTTTTTGTTGATAGTAAATATTGTTAAATTACACAAACTATTAAAATTATTTAGGAAACGTGACAGTGTCATTTGTTCCCTCTGTCTTACAAGTGCGTAGCATAACAAATTTGACATTCAGCAGATCACGTTTATCTCCGTAAAAATTAGAATTAAAATTACCTTTTATATAATTTGAAGAAGGAATGGAAAACGTTTTTTAAAAAACGTTATTAAACGGAAAAAAATTCCAAAAACCGAAAAAAATTTAATAACGAAATAAAATCAAAAACGAAAATAAATTATAGTATTATACATTATTATATTTATGCCACGAAAAACAAAAAAATTTTGAAAAAAAATTTCTCTTAAGTCTTTATACTTTTTAATCTTTACCAATAATGCGCTTTTAAAATTTAAAAACATTTTAATTTGAAATCAGAAATTTTTTTATTTTTTATTTTCATATAAATTATAATTTTGATTTAAAATTTAAATATTAAGAATAATTAATTTTAATTTTTAACTTTTAAGTGCATTTCTATAATGCGCATTACTATTATAAGAAAAATAAAAAAAATATTATCAAAAAAGTTATTTCCAAAAAATATGAAAATAACTTTTTTAAAAACGTTAATCAAAAACAATATTTAAAAATAACGTTTTTAAAAACGTTAATCAAAAACGTTTTTCATCCCTGATGTAAAGGTAAGGTTATTATATCTAGGCCTATTGTAAATTGTTTGTACATCTTAAAATACTCATAGCTCGCTTTAAAACTAAAATATAATAAAAATCCTATGACATTGTTTAAATAATAATTTTACTTTTAAATTGTGTAAGATATCGATTCGCTCTAATTTTCAAACTAACGGAGCTAAACGTGATTTGCTGAGCGCAAAATTTGGTATGTTACGCACTTGTAAGACGGATACAACAAATGTCGGTGGAACGTCCTCTTAAAACCAAGTTATTTTTACAATGCCTCAAGTCTCAACACCTAAAAAACCAAACATGGTCTAGGTATATACCTATGCTATTTCCCATTGGGTAACATAGTGGAAACATAATGGCATATTATGCAAACATTTCAGTCTAAAATGAACACTATAACGAAGAAGCGACCATATATCACTCATCACAACCATCGAGTTTTTTTTTACTAAATGTTACCTATTATTATCTGTAAACTTATTTTTATAGTTTTATTTTGTAAAAACTACGATAATTAAAAAATAAAAAATTACATAGTAATTAGTATATATTATGTGCATAATAATTCCTTAAGTGGTGTAATAAATAATTTGTGTCTTTACAATATTATACTTGAATTGAAATTATTCTATTGTTTCTTCAACGATACCGACTAAATATGGTAAAACATTATAAACATAATGTACATATTAAAAACATAATCATATTATGGCTTAATGATAAACTTTAATTTCAACTTTTATAGTAAAAAACCTTATGATGGATCTTGTAGGTATTATATTTTCAAGCGTTACTGCCTTAGGTACCTCGTACCTATTAAAATTAAAAAGTTGAGCAAGTCGCAATTGAATAATGCTCGGCTGTACGTTTTGAGGGGTCACGGAAATGAATATTAGGTTAAATTTTAATTAAATTGTATCATACTACAAAATAGTTTGTACATTTTCGAAATTTCGATGAATTTTATAAAAATTTGAACTTTAAATGCTTACAAAAAAAATCATGTTTTTAAACTGCTATTATAATAACTTAAGAGGCCCCTTTCTTTGCGGACCTTATTAACTTATATACCTATGTTATGTAACTTATAAGTATTAAAGTTTATGCACCGAAGTTAGAGGTTAGAGGTTAGAGGAAAAAATTAATTTGGTTTGATATTTTGAATAAATAGCTTTAGGCCCCTATTTAGTTTTTAAGATAACATGCATAATCATAGGTACCAAAACTAAATACGTCTGTAGCACGTCCTATAGGAATACTGAATAGTCAATGGAAGACATAAAGACTAAGAAGTAGATACACTCTATACACATACACATCACAATATTAACTAATTAGAGTAGGTACTGTTTAGACACACATAATATTTAAAAGGTACCTAGGTATAATGAATAATAATAACGTAACATTGGGCGTAATAACAAAATAATATTATATACTTAAAATTAAACTAAGGAGGGCACAAATGGATACAAATTGCCAAATCGGGTACAAAAAAAATGAAATTGTTTACAGGAGGTAATGATGACTTACGGGTGCCAGTCACTGTCAGTATAACCTACAACTCACCTATTCTTATTATCATTGGCGTAAATAGTGTTTGAAATTTGGGGGGGCTGAAGCTCATGTCTATACTTGAAACTCTTATGATGCTTTTAAATTATATTAGTGAAATCATTAGTTTTTGGGGGGGCTATAGAAACTCCAAGGGGGGCTAAAGCCCCCTAGCCCCCCTTCTATTTGCGCCTATGCTTATTATAAGTTATAATGTATCATACATTACTTTAAAAACCTATTTAGATGTGATAATAAGTGTCAAGTGATATACTGATATCCTATGGGATATGACATATACGAGTACCTTACTACGATTATAAATAATTTTTTATAATCGTGTATACCTTACTCGTTATTATCTAATATCTATTATCTATTAAAGTACTAAGTAGGTATCTATACGTTATATACACATTACATAATGTATTCGTTTTATCTATTTTTATTAATTTCATAATAATATGGCGCATTAGTAATGCGGCATTACTATTATATAATAAGTCTTATTTTCAATTGCTGCTATAGCGTGTATAGTGTGGGCTATTCAAATATGATAAAAAAATATATCATAGACATAGAGTTGATAAGACTCAAATAATCGTTTCATTTACGTAAATAAATTAGAAATATGAAATTTATATTAGATAGATCGTATGTAGGACGTAGGTACGCATATATAAATAATATAATATTCTGGTGACTGCCAATTCTGATTGCTCAGTACCGATGATTTCTCATGTAGATATATACCTACCTAAAACCATTGATTATGAATAGGTACTGGAATATACTTCCTCCGTTGCAAGCACCTTTTACAATTTACATTAGTTAGGGCCTTAGAGTGGACAGTTGTGCATTCCTGGGAATGCGGGGATTTACGGTGTTTACATAGCACAGTTTATATGAAATAATATAATTTTCATATGATCTGTGACATAGGCATCCTAGGCCATCATAGGCAAATAGGTAGGTAGTGGCTTACTCTTTGACGGATTTTATCCTCTCCAGTCTGGCTTGAGGCTTCCCTAGTTCCCTGTGATAACATGTCAAATGTCGAATGTCACATGACTCATGTGTAAACTTAAAAATATGGGCAAGTGGGTGTCACTCTGCTGTACAGTAGGTTACAAGTGGGTCACTGTATAATAGATGCTATATTGCTATTACATTTGAATTCATTGATATTATATCATTGTGTAAGAAAAACGATTCTGAGCGGAGACGGTATGTCAGTCTAGGATTAAGACATATTATATACATAGGTATCTATGGTATTAAACAAAAAATTGACCTATAATAGGTACCTATAATAAATTCCAAATTAATCATATCACAATATCCATTAGGTACTTATAACGCGTTATACATCAACAAAAACCGTGATACTATCATAGATATATAATAGTACACTTTAGAAGTTTCAAGTACCCACGAATAATATTATTCAATCACAACAAAATAACTAAAATTGTTATTCTAGGTTTTTCATTATGTAATTTCGTCTTAATAAACTGCGCTTATGTATTTTTTAGATTTTTTGGTAACAGAATTAACTACTTATGTGGAATCTTGTTTCAAATTTTCAATTCTTAGCTATAAAAGTGGAACCACTTTATAAATTATTAACTACAAAATAATTATTCAATTTTAAATTTCATACATTTTGTCAAAATTCGATCTTTAAATGCTTATAAAAAAAAATTGTTCTTATGTATTTTTAATATTTTTTCAATTGATATTGTAACAATATATCAGATGCCTTGTATTAAATTTTTACACTTGTTGGCCCAACAGATAAAACTTTATTGATATTTATAGAAAAAAAAACTGAAAAAATTGAAAACTGAAGATGTCCGTAAACAGCTCAAAAAGAGTCAAAATATTTTCAAAATTGTATGGTGTATAGGAAATGCTAATATAAACACTCAGTGAAATGTTCATGTATCTACAGTCATTGGTGTTGAATTACAACAAAATAAGGAAATCGCTACAAGATAAATCGAGTGAATATCCAATATTGTAAAAATTTAAATTTCAAACGCTCATAAAATTTTAATTTGACTTTCTTATAGACATTTATTTATTTATAAAGGTAGATAATCTTATAAGGAATCTTGTATTACATTTTAAAACCTTAGATTTAAATAGAAACATTTTTACGAATTCTTAACTCAAAATAATTTGCTAATTTTCGTGTTTTTTCATATTTTATTAATGTTTGAACTTTAAATGCTTATAAAAAAAATTGTGACTAATAATTTTTAATATTTTTCATCTGCCTATTATAACAGTATACTGGGAGCCTTCTATTAAATTTTCAAGCTTTTTTTATCTAACAAATAAATTTTTATAGATATTTTTAGAAAAAAAACTAAAAAAAAAAATGGAAAATGAAAATGTCCCTAAACCGTTCAAAATAAATCAAAATATTTTGAAAATGTTATCGTGTATAGAAAATGCAAATATAAACAACCTGTGAAAATTGTATGTATC